GGATAATGCGGTCCGAGTATCCATTCATCTTAAGGGCCTGGCGTACGTGTTCCAGTTCACTGGCTAGGTGATGTTGGTCAGAAATGCATTGGGCCCTATAGTGTAGTGTTTTGATGAGGGAATTCTTCTGTGCCGGATGGTGGTGGGAATCTGGTTTTTAGATAGGATCTGTGTGGGAGGGCTTTCCTCTAGACAGTGTCCCAACAAGCCATCAGGTCTCTTCTCAAACAAAACATCCAGGAATGGTAGCTTACCATCCTTCTCCACTTCCATGGTGAATTTGATGGATGGGCGTATGGAATTAAAAAGATTTCCAAAATCTTAAACAAACACAAGATCCAGGTCCGATTCAGTGCAGTACACAAAATCCGTGATATAATCCCATCTGTGAAGGATGTCATCCCTGACATGCAATATCCTGGAGTCTACAAACTAAGTTGCACCTGTGGTGATTGTTACATTGGGGAAACGAAACGACATGTCTCGGACCGTGTTCGCGAGCACAAGTCCGATCTGAAACACGGCAGGACTAATACCTCTGCCGTGGGCTGACCATTGCTCTAACGCTGTGGGCTCTCATGATATTCAGTTTAACACGTAGGCTTTCGCCAAGGTGCTCTGTAAACCTTCGGGCTACTATCAAAGGTTTGTTCCTGAAGCTATCCAGATATATAAACAGAAATAACTTCAACCGAGAAGATGTATACAAATTGAGCAATCATTGGAAGGATGTTATTAACCAGGTAAAACCTTAAATGCTTTATGGTGTTGTCTTCATATCCGCATCTCCAGTTTCTCTTCAACCTCCCACTCCCATCCCCGCCCACTCCCCCACCCCCAACATTTTGTCGTTTCTCGCCCCTTAATCCCTTCTAGCTGCTCTTCACTCGGCAGCGCTCCACTCCCCCTACCCCCCTCTCTGTCTCTCCTCCCTGGCTCCTCCCCCCCTCCTGTCTTACCTATATAGCCTCTTGTTACAGCAGCCCTTTTGCCCACTTCAGCAATTGTTTCTTGCTGTGGTTGTCCCACCTGATGACGGACGCTTGTGTTGCGCCCGAAACGTCGTGATTTAATTTATTTTGTTTTTATTTTCTACCTACGTGGCTTTACCGAAATAACTAAAGAGTATGGATCCCTGCAGTCACGAAAACTTCAAATCTAGAGTGTATACATCACCACTAGGGAGACAGGCGGCCGGGCATGGTGCTGGCCAACCACCCCCTTGTGTGCCGTGTCGGCGTTCTCACTAACAGCCCCAACAGTCTGTTAAGGCTGTACGGGGGGGGGGGGGGGGGGGGATCTTCGTCTCTTTTTTATGTGTGTGACTGCACGTGTTGACGCTCACGACCAGGGCAATGAAGAAAGGAGACCTGTCGGCATTCGGCACCATCCTGAAACGCAAATTCGAGGTCATGTTCTCCAGGAAAGTCGACCTGGGGCTCACAGGAAAAGACTGGGTCGTCCACCCATCCCTGCAGGTCTCTACAGGGGACACACTCTCGCGCGCTTAGCCTTACACGGTGACACGGCTCAGCGGTCACGCGTTTCCCCGCTTGTTGCAGAGGTTCACGGTCCGAATATTACTGCGGGGATACAAATTCGAGTAATACTTCGCGCCATCTGCTCCGCAGTGGACGTTAAAGACCCCCCTGATGTAGTTTGCAAGATCAGGCCATCATGTGCCGGCGCCAGGGTCCAAATTTGACAATTTTGAAAATGACGCACACATTACTCAATTGGGATTGTGCACAAAGCAGCAATCCATACTCTCTGTTTCTTTTGGTAAAGTCACGTAGGTATAAAATAAAATAAATCGCGACGTTTCGATTGCAACACATCATGACGACGTTTCGATTGCTTGTGTTGCAATCGAAACGTCGTGGGAATTTTATTTTTTATTTTTATTATTTTCCTTCTACGTGACTTTACCGAAAGAAGCAAGAATATGAATCACGGAGGTATAAATTAAAATAAATCACGACATTTCCTTTGCAAAACATCATGATGATGCAATCATCATCATGATTGCAACACATGATGATGCAATCATCATCATGATTGCAACACAATCATCATCATGATGATTGTGTTGCAATCGAAACGTCGTGATTTATTTTAATTTTATTTTCTCCCTACGTGACTTTACCGAAAGAAATGGAGAGTATGGATTCCTGCAGTCACCAAAGCTTCAAATCTAGATTGAAGCAGCAATCATTTCCCCCTGCTGACAGGCGAATGCCCCAAGTCAGTCTTGCCAATGAGACTCATCCTGGTCTTCGAGGTCTCGTCTGGTTAAGCAAGATAAACTTGAAACTCCTCCCATGAGCCCACGATCGCCTTACACCACAACCAACTTCACTATTTTACCTCTTTAATCTTTCAATTTTTGAAAGGGATACATTTTGTGGCATTTTTTTAAACTCAATTAATGGTTACCTTAAGAAACTGTCGATGCGTTAATGGGCAATAGTGTCAGGCTAGACGGCAGGCGAATTACTTGGGGTTGGGTATTCGTAAGTGTTCATCATGAGATGAACATAACCTTGGGCATCATTTAGCCAAAAGTTATTTTTTTTTAGCCCTTCCAGAACATTTTTTTTTTATAATTTCACTCACATCACCATGCTCATTTGGCTTTTTTGTAAACAATCGGCATAAACTGCACACGTGCGTTCCAAAAAAAATCTAGGATCTTTAATAAATTGCTAGAATTTAACAAATCACTGTTCCGTGGCGGACTGCGTAGGTCGTGAATCGTCTATCTGGTTGTCTACATGTTCTCGTTAACGGCGCCCGTTGTCTTGGCTCCGGCAGGACAGCGCGCGGATGCTGGAGGAGAATGTGTACAGCTTCGGCTGCATTGTGGAGACGCTGCTCTTCCGCTTCGGCAAGGTGCGTGCCCACCCCCACCGCCACCACCACCCCCACCACCACCACCACCCCCACCCCCACCACCACCCCGAGTCCTGGCACCGGGCGTAGCAATCGCCGCTCCCCCGGCCCCTGGATCTCGCGTCACGCGCCACACCGCAGTCAAAATCTCATCCATCGGACGAACGCGCAACGTCCCGTCGGATCGATGTTGCTCCTCGCATTAAATGCAAAGAGGTCAACGGTGTTGGCCCTGCGATTCCTTGCTCACGCCCACCGGTTTAATTGCGTGCGGCCATAACCCACGTCCAACAAAACCAAAGATCTTGGCGGTGCCAGCTTAGCGCTGTGACCTGCGAGCGATCCGGTTACCTCTGCTCGTCATTAAGTGACCGTCCCGAGCGTGCGTCGTCCGTCTCGGCGGCACGCTCGCCGTTTACCGAGCGTCCCGCTTGTGCGCGCGCGCGTGCCGTCCATATCTGCGACACAGACGATCGTGGATGAGCAGATGGTGCTGAAGCGTGTGGCGGATGTGGCGATGAACGCGTACGCAATGACGGCGGTGTTATCTCGCGCCTCGCGCTCCATCTCCATAGGACTCCGCAACCACGACCACGAGGTGGGTCCCACAATCGAACTGTCAACGTGCAGGCTGGCGTATGGAACGTGACCACGGCCATAGCGAGAACTGTACTGGGTGTGGCGTGATTGGAGTAGGTGTGTGACGAGCAGTTATGGCCATAGAGAGAGAGGAGTACTGGGTGAAGTGTGCCGGGTGCGAAAAGCCCTCGGTTGATCTTGCATCTCCTTTAGAGCTGCAAACTAATGGCTAATGGCAATTTTCACAGAGACCCGTGTGGCCAGTTGCATAAAGAATACTCAAAAACAATTGTTGTGACTATAAAACTTGTGCTACTTCAAATTATAAACGAAGGGAAGTGTTTTTATGCCATCACCATTAGACTGACGTACTACAGATCTTACGTCAGAGCAGTCGGTTAACATTGCTAACTTCTTTTTATACGCTGTCTCAGTAGCTGATCACAGGCCTGGAGAGACCTGTAACTCAAAGCGGCCAGCAACAGACGGCAACTAATAACAGCTTGGCCAAGAGACTGGATATCTTTAGCACGCCTGCTTGATTAACCCTGACTAACCATGTCGGTAGCATCTATAATTTCGTATTGACACAATCCATTATAATTTATATGAATACACGTACTCCCTACCCCCCCCCCCCCGAGTCTTTAACACTTGCAGGTGAACAGTGATATCGTCACCTTACCCTATTTTAAGACCAAAAACAGGAAGACCTCTTCACAATTCTGGCAATCACCTGATGATGCTGGTTGTAATCGCCAGCGAAAACGTCGAACTGAAATTGTAAATGTTGTGGTTTTCCTCTCTAGCACACCGGTGTGCTGAAGTAGTAACGCGTTGGCACGTTTTGCTCAAGTGACAATCGTTACTGATTGGCCGAGTCGGGTGGAGGTGGGCTTACGACACATTTACGCGACCTCTAACCTAAAAAACTGGAGAACTGGACCCTGCTTTCTCCCGCCCGCAGGTGCTGCTGGCCAACACGTTCTGCACGGAAGCCTACTTCAAGAACACCTTTCTACTCACGCAGCTTTCCAAAGGCAGGTGGTCCATGTCCAATAACACTGTTCGTGTGTGTGTGTGTATGTTGAACGTGGGGAGCGGTAGGGCAGTGGTTAGCGTACTGCGCTACGAACCCAGCGTCCCGAGTTCGACTTGGTGACGAATATCTGAACCGGTCCTGGGCCTCCCCTCGGTCGACTCAGCCTCAAATTAGTACCTGTTGCGGTGTGTAAACATTGTCACTAGAGAGATAAAGGCGGCCGGACGTGGTGCTGGCCACCCACCCCCTAGTATGCAGTTCCGGCCTTCATAGGTGCTCGCTAACAGCACTTGCCCCGGCAGTTTGTTCAGGCTACACAGGGGACATATCTTTGGCTTTGTATTCAATGTGTGGGATCGCTTCCACCATCGCTGTCAATCCTACAGAGGCCGAATTGAACATGGACGCCAACTACAAGAAGATCGCCGAGCAGGTGCTCACTCGGCGCCGCTACATCTGCTCGCATCCGCTGGAGCGGACCTTCTGAGCGCCACCGCAACACTCGTCCACTCCCGCCGTACCTAGGGGCCCTGAACGCAACGTCCCTGCCTCGTTTCCACAGGACACGCAGCTCGGGTCAACTCGAGTCTGGCCTGATCTCTCCCAGCATCCCAGCTGTGATTTTTCGAGTCACTCGAGTTATCAGATAATTCCAAGACATACTTGAGAGTCAAAAGGTCAAGATGAGGTTGCTGGCAAAAATTAAATGTTAATTGGTAATTGTTAAATGAAACGTGAAATTTAACGGCCCTGCCGGCTACAACAGCTGTGATTCACATGGTTGGTTGGGTGATGAATTTCCTGACTTTGGGGTAGGGAAAGTCGTGCCAACCTGGGATGCAATGATGGCCTGGAAAATTCTGGCCTCGGCCCATATTCGCTGCCAATTTGAGTAAAAAAAAGTCTAATAGAAAAGTGTTACTGGCGCGGCAAACTCGAGTTGAGTGTTCCGTGGAAACTAGAAACTGGACTCATGGCACGAGCCTCTTGAACTAAACGTATCCATGATGGGCACAACCACTTTCTGGGTGTTGGGCTTGAGAATGCGTGCCATTTCATTAACGTGCCTCTAACAAGAATTGTGCTGTATAAACGGCCTTGTGCTGTAAACAGGAGTGCATGTTAACCCAAGGGAGAGCGTCAATAATTTATGGCCAAACAGGCCAAATGGGGCCCGCGACTTCATTTCATACGGCCCGCATCTAAATGAGGCCTACAATTTCGAAAAAGGCATACCAACGATACTCATCCATAACTGCAAGCATCTTGGCCATACTAAGCGCATAGTACGAGTAGTAGGAGGAAATATTTTCTATCTGGGAACACTGTAGTTCAGTGCACAGTCAATGCAAAGTAGTCCTGATCGTCATCAAAGTATATTGGACGACTAATTTGTGGCCCGCCAAAAGGCATTTGAAAGTCCTCCTTGGCCTTTCAGTACGTTAAAGGCTCCCTGCCTCGCGGTGACCACCGTAGAGCCAAGCGTGGTTGGGGGATCGTCCAGCAGGGATGCGTCTGACCCTGAGGCCGAGATCTCACTGCACCCGTAATACGGGCGCTCCTGTGCAGCGCTTTGACGGCTGATATTTCGCCCTCTGTCACTTGTTGGCGGGGCACGTGGAGTGTTCCTGTCTGCTGAAATGTTCATCGCCGTCTTAAGAGCAATATTTGCCACGGGCTCACATTTCTCAATGCACTGTATGTATGCATATCGAATCGGGATGATTGAGGGTGGCGTGTTATTTTGAAATCAATTTTAAGGTGTGATGTGTGATTATTTTTTTTGTTTGTGAGCCCGTAGTGTATGTTGTTTAAGAAGAAGGGTTTTGGTAAATAAAAATAAAACTGAAATACAACAAAGTGACCCGTGACGCCATCTCAATTTTCGTCACTCTTCACGTTTTGATTTTAAGAAGCTATCCACGTAAAACTGATTTTTGGGTTACATCGCAATCGTAAAATGTGTCATACACCCTCCTCCACCTCACAGCCAATTATTAAGGGCTATCATGTGTGGCCAGGTCACTTCTGAAAAAGCTATATAGCTGAGCGGGCCTTACCTGGTAAAAATAAAAAAAATAGTTAAAATAGTTTCTAAAGTTGTCACGTGAACAAACGTGCCAATGTATTATTGCTACAGCACACCGGTTATGTTGGAGAGCAATCCGCAACATGGAACAATTGGGTAGTCGCACGTTTGCTGGTAGTTACACAACCAGCATCATCGGGCAGTTTCCAACATTTTGAAAATGTCCCCTGGTTTTTGGGCCTTAAATAGGGGGTGTGATGTCATCAACGTGCACCCACACTAGCAGCGAGTGACAGGAATTGATACTTAAAGGTTAAATGTATTCACAAAATATATTCGATTCTGATGAATTATGTTAAATCTGAATCTTTATCCTCGAGAAATACGAATTCAGAGACGTCCAGTAGGGGCAGGTCAGAAAGCTCCAATAATCAGAAAGCTACAACAATAACAAAAATATATTAACATGATGGACATATTAGTTGGTGAAACGGGGTTAGTCATGGTTAATGAGTTATAGTGACTGTACGAAATGGTTTGTAACGTTATAATAGTGTGTTATAATTATTATACGTACACTTTCTATTGAGTCTGCGAAGACTATTTAACTATCTTTTTCCATGCCGCACTCGGCTCAGTTGAAATCATTTTTATTTCTCTCAGTTCAAAAGGTTATCTAATTAGTCTTGGCCAATAGTCATTTAGTTCTGCATAGAACATCGCCGTTATCAAACTCGAGTGTCCTTGTTAACGGGCATGTTCCGGCAACTGCTTGACGACTGTGTGTTCGTGAGTATTTGATGCTCGTCTGGTGTTCTCTCACTTTAAATGAACACCAAAGCAACATTAAGAACAAACACAATTGGCAGCAGTAGTGGAACAATGCCCTGCCCGCGACGACGACATTCGCATGAACAATAATCAACATTCGTGGCGTACGTCTGCACCTTGTTAAATCCGCATGAGACAGATAGCCCGGGACGCAGCTCCAGGACGGACGTGTGCCACTTGTACTTAAGATGAAAAGAAATGTGTTTAACCAGGTGGGAACACGCGCGATCAGGATTGTCTCATTTGCAAGAGTGACCTGGGGTATTGGTCTGCCGGTAGGGGGTGATGATTGCTATGTTATGATCCCAACTGGATAATTTGCGGTTGCGTACCGTCACGCCACGTAGAGCTGAGCGTCCTCGCGGTGCGTGCGTGCCCGCACCACGCTCCCGTGCCGCTCGGCGGGCTGCTCCAAAGCGGCAGGCCGTGGCGACGGCCCGGCGGGTGGAGGCGCCGGCGCGAACAGGGGCCCCCTGCGCTCCTCCGGCTGCAGCGGTGCGACGTGCGGACGGTGCAGCAGCGCGCGCTCGCGGATGAGGGTCCTGCCGCGGGCGGGCGATCGCGCTCCCATCAAACGATGCAGAAGCGTACAAGTGCAGCACACGCAGCTTAAAGGACGCGACCTGGGCTTGGCTGTCCTCTGGACAGTCCGGTCCCTTCACCTGATGAAGACCGCTTGTGTTGTGGCCGAAACGTCGTGATTTTTGTTATTTTATTTTTACCTACGTGACTTTACCGAATAGAACCAAAGAGTATAGTGCAGCACGACTTTTTTTATTTTATTGCAGTGTCCTCTTGCCGCACACAACGCAGACCCACAAGCCTTGTAACGCCTGTCATGCGTGGCGAGTGGCCCGTCCATGCGTGATGCAGGCTCGAGGCTGCTTAGCCTCCGAGTTGTGACGAGAAAGTTTGCATTCTGGGCGATTGTGGATCGCCTCATTGTGAATCTGCGCAAAATCAATGAGCCCACGGTGTGTGTGTTGCGTATCGGCGGCTGCAGTATTCCTTGATGGGAAGTGGATCAGAGACATGGAAACGAAAACTGAACAGTGCGCAAGAGACGCGTGGCAAATGCAAGGACCCTGGCGAAGATTCGCAACGGGGTGCACACGAGCAGGTGTGTGGCGATGCATCGATTCGTCGATTAACCTCCAGACTTCCACGCTCTCGTACTGCACACACGTGAAATTGCGCGAGCCACTTCCTAAGAATGTTGCCGCGCGTGCCGTTTGCCGCGCGTGGTGTCCACTCACGCGAAGGCCTTGGGGTCGCGTGCCTCTGGGCCGCGGGCGTGGCTGTGCCGAGCGAGGTGATTCCCGGGCAGCGTCCACGCGCGACGCTCGTGTGGCCCCGGCATGAAGCCGCGACCGGTCTCGCGCTCCACCTCCTCCTCGCTCGCCTCCTCCCTGTCCTCGTCCTCCCCTCCCGACGACGTCAAGGAGAGTCGCTCCAGGCTCGGGTGACGGACCACGGCCAGCACGGGGATAGGCTGCGAGGTTTCGGAGAGTCGCGTTGGCTCACGATCATCGTCGTCATCATCGTCATCATCGTCGTCGCACACGCTTGGTTCATTGCACGTTCGAGAAATGACTCCGTGTACACAAATCAATTCGTCTTTTCTATTCACGAACTTCTAAAGTGATTGATAACAAAAAAAAATCATCAGCCATGCTCAATCTAATGCTGCTTGAAGATCTCCTCCCAAAGCCATCGCTAATCTCGAGGTGGCGCGAAGCAACGACACGTTCATCACCTGCACACGACACGATGTGATCATCGGTAGCCGCGGCCAAGACGAATGACAGAGGGACAGCCAATGGAGTGAACCTCGCGAGTGTCATGGCCGCCACGGAGATTTAACGACGAAATGAGCTCGCGTGCAGGAGCTCGGCGGATTGTTGCATTGCAAGGACCGTGAGAGATAACGATGGCTTGCAGAGGCATTCATCCGGCAGTGGATCGATCAATGGATGATCGTCCTTCCGTTACTTTCTATTTCCCTTGTCAATCCACTGCTGGACGGAGGCCTCCCCACCCCGTGTCGGTCATGGAGATTGACCGTACTTCACCAATCCAGCCAGTTTGGGTTGGTGATGGCACGACGTCCAGAACCGTTTCGGATGTCACTGTAGGCGTGTCCGGGAATCAAAGCTAGGGGTCACTGGATTCATAGCGCACTGCGCTAACTGCTGCGCCACCGCAGACAAGCGGGAACCACAGACAAGCGGGAAGGCAGCTGTGCGGCGAGTCGGCACCAACAATTGCCTAAGCTCTGCCATCCTAAATAGAGTAAGGTGTTATTGGCCAATTAACGGGCGTTTACATGCGGGAGGAAAACGGTGCAACTGGCGGAAGCCCACGTGTGCAAGGGGGAAACACTCTATCCCATACAAACAGGTGGCGTTATGTCCATTTTTTTTATGAACTGCATTCTCCTGGCAAGACAAAGGGTAGCGCCTTCTCGACGCCTACGGGAAGGCTTGGTGTGCGACCCACCAAGCCTCTTCTCCACAGTGGCGGAGTACAGGCATGCGTGCGTGAATGCCACCAGGACGATGCTCACCTTTTCCCGTCCCTCCCCTGCCCTTCCGCGACCCCTTTGTGCCCTCAATTACGGTCTCACTCTTTCCTCGGCCCTCGCACGCCCCTTTTACCATCTCAATCAGTCTCTCTCTGTTACCGCTTTTTAAACGCTGTGAAGAACGCCCTGAGCGAAGGCGCTCTATGATCACGACATGAGATGACAGTCGCCATGACCCCCGAGAGGCGCCGTCACCTGGAAGAGCATCCCCGGCTTGCGCAGCGAGAGCTTGTGCGGGGGGTCCTTGAGGAGGCCGGCGAGGCGTGCCAGCTGGTGGGACGCGAGGGGCCCCGAGGGGCGCTCCTCCGTCGCCGGCAGGAGGCGGTGGAAGCCCATGGGGGGCGCCGCCGGCGGCACTGTGAGGAGGGGGCCGCGCACGCTCCGCTCCCACGCCCGGAGCAGCTCCGCGGTGGTCGGCCCTAGGGTGACCGCGCGGGGCACGAGGATGGGCCGAGACGGTTCCCGTGACAAACCCCGGGCAGGCGACCGATCCGCTCCCCCCGCCCCGGTCACAGGTAATTGACGAATCGTCGTGATTCAGGTTTTCCAGGAGTACCCCTCCTGGGTTAGGCCGCCACTCGAGCAGTTCTTCTCTCAAGCTTTCGCCACGCGCGCTACTGCGAACATCTTCAAGTCATAAATACGGCAAACAGAGAGGCGCAAACCACGTTTCACCGCACACCACTTAGGGCATCTTCAGGAGTCTGAGCGATGGAGCCCACCCAGTCGGGCTAACATTGGTCCGACGATTCCAACCACGTTGGCCCAGGGTTGCATGTTTACTGGGCAGGGGGGGGATCCCTCACTGTAGCTGCTGAAGATGCCCGCAGCAGTTCGTGGCAAAAAGACGGCATTTGTGCTCAGCTACGCAAAGCGGATCGACCTGGAACGCCACGCTCCGATTCCGGGCGTCCGCGATCACCCGCGTGGTGACGACGCCTCGGCACGCGCGATTCGATCGGCCGCCGTCCCGGCGGGCTCCGCAAACGGGCCTCCTCCGCACGTACCCTCCGCGTGGACCGACGTGGAGATGCGCGGGGGCGCCGGGGGGCGGCCGTACAGCTCCCAGTCGCTCCGGCGCAGCTCCCAGCTCCAGCGGCCACGGCCGTGGAGGGGTGGGCGCAGCGCGCCGCGGTGCAGCACGTTCTCCGTCCACGCCTGGTCCCCGCCATCAGAAGGAAAAAACGATGAAGGCCTCCCGTGTAGCCTCAAACACACTACTGCTGCTGCTGCTCTTAGCGAGCACATCCGAAGGTCGACATGGCACGACGCCTCAACTACTAAAACGATCGACTAATTTTTAATTTACCGGGTAAGGCCCGCTGAGCTATGTAGGTCTTTTTTTTTTCAGAAACGACCTGTCCTCGACGAAAGGGGGCTTATCACGTGGAAATTTATATAGCAGCCAAATGCTCTGAACACATGCTCATTCTAAATGTGGAGGGAATAACCGGAGGACCCGGAGAAAAATCCACGTGGCCACGGGGAGAGAGACATGTAAACGTCAAATCTATAAAAAATTTTTTACATTCGACACCAAGTAGCGCTGGGTCAGCCGAGGTGAGGCCAGCACCGGTTCAGATATGTCACTGATGTTAGCCGTGAGCGGCCATCGAACCCGGGCTGCCGGGTTCACAGTGCAGTGCGCGAGCCACTACGCACGACGAGGAACAACGTCCACGCTCCCGTTTCGCGGGATGCCACGAGACTCGCCAAGTGCAGCGCAGTGAGTTGGTGGTGTGGCCAATGGAACAATCACGACGTGAAATATCGGTTTCTGCGCTTTGCTAAAATTTCATCTCAGAATTAAACTATTCCTGCTCCATCTTGATTTGAAGCTTTCGTGACCGCAGGAATCCGTACTCTTTGGTTCTTGTAAAGTCACGTGGGTAGAAAAATAATAGATCACGACGTTTCGAATGCAACACGAGCAATCGTCATCAGGTCGGACAAGCACAGCAAGAAAAAAAAAAACTGTTGAAGTTTTTTCTTGCTGTGGTTGTCCCACCTGATGACGATTGCTCGTGTTGCGATCGAAACGTCGTGATCTATTATTTTTCTACCTACGTGACATTCCCGAAAGAACCAAAGAGTATGGGGATTCCTGTTGCCGACGTATCGCCAACGCACACGCACACATGGACCAGCACTGGGACGAGTGCGCCGCTTTGTGGCGAGAATGCGTAATTGAATGGTTGAGTGATTGGAAATTGAGAGGCAATGGGTGAGCGGTGGATTTTGTTCAAAATATATATATTTTTTTAAAGCAAATGTTTCCCAAGGATGTTCAATTGCCACCCACCACCTCAGGTAGCCCCGCAACTTTGCCCGCATCATGCGTCCGGAATGATCTAAAAGGTAAAGGCGCAGACCTGCAATTGCGTGTCTCACCTCCCTGCTGGTGGAAGGTGCCTCTCTATTACTCAGAGTTATTTGAAATTGTACATTAATCCTTGGTGAGGATGTTATTATTTAGTTTACACAGACCCCCTGTAGTAGCCTCGCAAGGCCGCCAGGGGTCAGCGGATGACAGGTTGGGAACCGCCGCTCTAGAGAACGCTTCGAGGGCAGCGTTCTTCATTGCAAGGCCCGCGGGTCACTGGCGGCCCTTGGTGGCCTTTAGTGCGGCCCCCGACGTCCGACCCCCAACAAATACACAACACGTGAAAAACCCCATCATGCTGTCACACCCCAATTGTTTCAAATGTACGGCAGCTCTCACATTATTCTCATTTTGTACGGCTCACGTAGATGCAGAGCAATAACTACAATTAAATGGTGCAGGTTGGTCGAGCCAGATAACCGCGTCAGGAGCAGCGGAGTGGTATCGCCGCGATGTCTCGTTCGCATTGTGGATCGGGTATTGCGTCGTTATACGGTCTGTCCTGGGTGACCACAGTCGCACACTCCTGGAGAGTTTAAAATTTCACATTTGTGCGACGGGTATCCGCATCTGTCATTGATGCCGTGACGGCGAAAACGGCCCCCCTCTGAAATTCGTGAGGAACACTTCTAGGAGGCATTGTGGCCTACAACTCAAGACGCCTTGGGGGAGGTGGGAGTGCCCACACGCTACCCCACCGCACACGACCTGTCCATCGACTGCGGTGAACCCAACTCGTGAAGAAGAGGCGGGGTGGGTGGGGGGATTTGAGACTCTTGGCGAGCCCGAATCCTCTGGGTTGCAAGGCCAGAGTGCTAACCATTATATCACACCTTGACCTAGTTGACAGGCCCAGTGCATAGATAATAATTATGCTTTCATTTTATATAGCGTAATTCATGCTAATAGCGTCCCACAATGCCGCACATTAATTATATTATGATGATCAAATCCCATGTAGAGCCACTACCAAGCAAATAAAAACCCTACCACGACCAAGCAAAATCAACAAATTAAGAAATGGCACCAAAACAAAAAGCAGAAACCAAAAAGTTATCGCTATTTAAATTTAAGAAACGTGTCTGTTGTTCCAACCGCCGCGCCGGGAGATCCAACCGGCAACAACCTCCGGATTGCAAGTCCAGGGTGACGACCATTACGCATCCTGCACCGCGGCAGTGACGTTTAAAACGAGGGACAACATTCAAAATCTCCTCTCGGACGATATCGGGACGACCCCTCTCTCCGAACCCACGACCGTCCCCGTGCCAAACCGCGACGGTTTTCCGGCTCCGGCCGGTCGGGAGGGCCCTCGCCTTGCAGAGCTCCTCCCGGCGTGCGGAGTCCGGCCGGAGCGGGTGCTCGTTGTCCCGCTGGCCGTCCGAGGGGCCCGGCACGGCGAATCCCCGCGCGGTGCGCCAGGCGGCGCGGGACCGGCGCCGCTCGTCGCACCGCGCCTCCTCCTCGTCCACGGGATCCAGCGACAGGGAGGCGAAGGCGAGGGCGTACGAGTGGCGGGCGCGCGGGTCCTCCTGCGGCGGACGGACAGGGCGGCGCGGGGGGCAGACGCGGAGACGATGAAGCCGCCCCCCCCCGCCCCCGCCCCCGTCCCGGACGTGCATCTCTTCCTCTTTGACGAGCGCGGATTTTTGGTTAATCGATCGAAAAGTTTTTTTTTTTTAGGGAATACGCCGCGGAGAGCGACAAAACGAACAAATGCGCAACACGAACCACCGAACGGCCGCCTTACTAACGCCGCGTTGACCGGAGGCGCGGACGTGCGATCTCTGCGTACGGTGGCCTGGGAAACCCGCGAGGGGGGGGGGGGAGGGGAGGGGTGGAGCGCAGGGACCAGATAGGCAGACGGACAGCGTCCACCTACCCTGTTGAGGTGCTCGCGGAGCGCGGCGAGCGCGACCTGTCGCCCGTTGAGCGACTGCGAGCTGTAGTAGGGCGCGTCGCCCGGGAGCAGCCAGACGGCGCGGCCGGGGGGCCGGCTCCGGGCCACGGCGAGGCTGGCCTCGCGCACCCTCTCGAGGTTTTCCTGCGCTCTCGCGGGCGGGGACGACCGCAGAGACGCGCGAGCGGGAACAAATTTGCCGAGAGGCTTCAGATTGCGACCGAGCTGATAGGCACTTCAGTGATCCCAAGTTCAAATCTGATTTTAAGTTGTCGGCAAGGAACACTCATTAAACATTTTACATCCATTATCTGCTCCCCCTCCGCACCCGATTTCCCCTCCCCCATCCCCCCCCCCCCCTTCCCTTCTCCACATTCTCCTTCCACTCCTCACCTTGACGTGGTCCACGGGCTCCTCAGGCTGTCGGTGAACATACTCCGGGTTCCAGTTGTCCAGCCGAGGCTGCGGCTGTGGGGTTGCGGGCAGAACCCACCGTCACGATCACAGCACCGACACGGATCGGCAAGCGCCGATACTCGCGCTCGCAATCCGGATTAACCCACGGGGCTTGTGGGGCTTCAGCCTGACACCCCAGATTTGTAATGCCCCCCCCCCCCCCCCCCCCGCCCCCCCTCCCGCCCCCAAAAAAAAACTGTGCACGGCTTTATAACGGTTGACATGCAACGCTGTAGCACTCCTACAGGCAGTCTGGTGAAAGAGAGCCACTACCTTCGATATCGCTGTACAATTCGGGCATCACATTTAACGACTCGAAATAACATATGTGATTAACGACGGGGAGAGTTTAGCATCGGGCGTGGGTGGTTTGTAACACAGTGGAGGGGAGGAATTGGATTTACACAGCGGCGCCCCACCCCCGCCCTAAAACTAACACAGCCCTTGGGGCCCCGCCGTCAAACTTAGTCCGGATCTCATCAGCCTCTTGGAGGCTAAGCTCCCTACAACAGGGAGTCATCCTGTCCACGCGACGATTACTCCGCGGCTTCGAAACACTCTGGAGAGCGAGCGACAGGCATCAGGCGTCTCAACTAAAGTGTAAAACTACGTATATTTGTTTTACCAGGTAAGGCCCACTGAGCTGTATAGCTCTTTTTCAGAAGCGACCTGGCCACAAATGATAGCTCAACGTAGTGGCTAATCACGTGGAAATGTATAGCAGCCAAACACTCTAAACGCGTGATGTTGATTCTAACTGTGGAGAGAAAAAACAGAGGACCCGGAGAAAAATCCACGAGACCGCGGGGAGAGAGACACACAAAACTCCAAATCTACAGCAGGCGTCAAGGTCGGGATGAAGCCCACGACCTCCTGTACACCAGGCGAGGTGGTCAACATCTCCTAGCCACCTTGATGACGATGAGAGAAAGAGAGAGAGACACGCAAAACTCCAAATACACAGCAGGAATCAGGGTCGGGATGAAACCCACAGCCTCCTGTACACCAGGCGAGGTGGTCAACATCCCCTAGCCACCTTGATGACGATGAGAGAGAGAGAAAGACACGAAAAACTCCAAATACACAGCAGGCATCAGGGTCGGGATGAAACCCACGGCTCCTGTACACCAGGCGGGGTGGTCAACATCTCCTAGCCACCTTGATGATGATGAGAGAGAGAGAGACACGCAAAACTCCAAATACACAGCAGGCATCAGGGTCGGGATGAAACCCACGGCCTCCTGTACACCAGGCGGGGTGGTCAACATCTCCCAGCCACCGTGGCGAGACGGCCTCTGGCGAGGTTCGTTACCCTGCACTTCCTCTTGCCGCGGGGGAGCGCCGGCGGAGAGGCGCTCCTCCTGAGTTGCAGGGTGGTTGGGCCACGTGCGGACGAGCGGCCGGCGGAGGAGGCGGCGGCGAGCGAGAAGAAGGAGGAGGAGTGAAGCGCCGTGCCGGGCAGGACGCAGAAGTGGCGCGCGAGCGATTCCAGCATCCCCGGTGAAGGCAGCATCTCGGCTCGCACGACGTCGCGCAGCCTCGACGCCCCGCACAGGCTCTCCAGCCTGAGCGGGATCGGTGTCCCGATTTGGAGGAGGATTTTGACATCTCTATCATCGTCGTCGTCGTCATCGTCAACATTATCAGCAGCAGTAGCAACAGCAGTGGCATTTTACAAATCATAGCCATACTAATTAGCAGAATCAACTGGAGCAGAATCGTGGGCAGCAGCAATAGCAACAACAGCAGAACCATCAACAATCAACACCACCACCACCAACGCCGCCACAATCATGATCATTGCCACCACGGCCACCCTATGAAACTATTAAAAACTATTTTTATACGACAAGGTAATGCCCACTGAGTTATAGAGCTCTTTTTCAGAAGCGAACTGTCCCAATGAAAGCGCAACGAAATGGCTTATCACGTGGACATTTATAGCAGCCAAATACTCTAAACGCGTGATGTTGATTTATAAATGTGAATGGGAAAAAAACCCGAGGACCCGCAAGAGGGAGAGACAGGCAAGCTCCGAAAATTCAGCCGTCGTCAGGGTCGGGATCGAACCCACGTCCTCCTGCATACCAGCCGAGGCAGTTAACATCTCGACGCCCTAACCCCGCGCCATACCCACGCGCGTCCCACCTCTGCATGGCGCGCACGGCGAGGGCGGCGCCGCGTGCTCCGGCGAGCGGGAGCAGCGCCAGTCCGGGGTCGCGCAGCGTCCGGCTCAGCGGCGCCCGCAGGCGTAGGGTGCGCACGTGGGCGCCCAGCGCGGCGAAGGCCCGCACGGCGAACCCCGCGCTCGAGTCGAACAGCACCGCCACGCGGCCCGGACTCGAGCTGTCGGTCACGCGCAACGATCAGGGGCCCGCGAGCCAGTGATTTCACGACGATCGTGAGTCAGTCTGAAGACTCGAGCCCGGCGCGTCACGAATGCGCCACTGCGCCGATCACGCAGGCTGAGCTCTGCGGAACAACTGGCTCAGGTGCAAGGATGGATTGCAAACACCTGCCGAAGGTAAGTGGTCCCTCGTTTTCTTGGTTCTTTCGGTAAAGTCACGTAGAAGGGAAAGAAAGAACCAAGAAGATGAATCCCTGCAGTCACGAAAGCTTTAGATCGAAATTTGGTTCCACGTTGCTGACAATCCGTGTCAGCAACCAATCTTTGTCAGCAACCGTTACCGGCAACACCTTAACCGTAACCGCAGAGGGTGGGGAGTGGGGTGGGGGAAGAATTTGGCACCGGTTCACCATGTGGCTCGTCTGCGGTTCCTCCTCCTGGTGGCTCGTTCTTTCTCTCTTCCAGAGCGAGGGGAGTAGACTGTGCGTCGGCGCAGTGTTCCAAGTTAAAATGCTCAACCTTTGTTGGAAAGTGATCGTAAGGCGGTGCGTTCCAGTGACGTGCGGTGAGGTCAATGGCTGGGGAGGCACTGGCAGGTGTCAGAGCCAGATTCATACACTGAGGGGGGCGTGGCCTCACCGAGGGGGGCGTGGCCTCACGGAGGGGGCGTGTCCTCACTGAGGGGGGCGTGTTAGACTCGTCCACCTCAGTGAGGCAGATGTGATAGCTGCCTCCCCTGGTGCTTTTTCATTGCAGTTTTCATGACGAGACCAGCGAGCCTAAATATCTTTATACACATACGTGAAATAAGTTACCTGGAGTATGGAAGACGAGGACATGAAGGGGTCTACAAACATTACATTTCGATTTAAAGCTTTCGTGACTGCAATGATTCATCTTCTTTGGTTCTTTCGGTAAAGTCACGTAGAATGAGAATAAAATAATAAATTGATAAAATAAAATAACACAATAATATTCTCACGACATTTCGGCCACAACACAAGCGGCCTTCATCAGGTGAAGGGACGAGACTGTCTGGTAGGACAGCGCTGGAGTGAAAGAGCCACGTTCAGATCATGGCCTTTAAGCTGTGTGAGAGGAACAAAGCGCTCCATCCAGTTACTGAGGGGTGCTAAAGCTGAGGGCGCTTTGTTGCACTCACACAGCTTAAAGGCCGTGATCTGAACGTGGCTCTTTCACTCCAGCGCTGTCCTACCAGACAGTCTCGTCCCTTCACCTGATGAAGGCCGCTTGTGTTGTGGCCGAAACGTCGTGAGAATATTATTGTGTTATTTTATTTATCAATTTATTATTTTATTCTCATTCTACGTGACTTTACCGAAAGAACCAAAGAAGATGAAACGTTACATTGGTGACATACTGAGATAGTAACAGGCACGCGCTTATTGCCCGCGCTCCATCCAGTTACTGAGGGGTTGCGCAATCAGAGGGGAGGCTGAGCGCGTTGCTGCCTCACCTCTCGTCTCTTCCTGTATTTGCAGCGGAGCTCCGTAAATTTGGTGATTTTGACTAGAAAAATGATTGTAATCGTACAGAAGTTACATTTATAACACAGATCAGTGGAACAATCTTAATATTTATTTTATTTTATTATTCTTTTCTTTTACTTTTCGTCACAGCTATTTTCATTGGAGTATGACAGGTGAGGCTCTGCCTCCCCTGCCTCCCCTGACCTCACATCCCAGGTGCGTTCAGGTGCCTTGAGCTGGTGGCTATCACGGGCGGAACGAATGCAGGAATGGTGCCGTCATCTTGAAATGCAAAGCATGCCGGGACTTCCTGTCTTGTTTTTATTTTATAAAACATCGTTAGGAGTGCAGCTCTGCTCGGCGGGCAGCGAGGGGCTCTCACGCTGGTTACGGGGGACAGAGGAGAACCCAGGCCCGGCCAGGGGATATAAAAGCGACTCCCCTAGGGGTGGACGAGGATGGCGGCGCACAAACCTCGGAGCGAACTCCTCACAGAGACGCCGCACGGCCCCGTCCCTGGGCCCCTCCAGGGCGAGCAGGTGGTGCTCCCCGTCGTACACGTGGAACCCCGTGAGCAGATCCAGATTCGGGTCCCTCTGCTGCTCCTCCGAGAGCCTGTGGCGAGGAGGTGTGGAGCGGGGTGGGGCGGTTAATTTTGCACCGCATCCAGATTCTGAATTCCTGGTGTCTCACCCATGTTTTAAGCAAAACGTCGCGTTACCTAATTAAACACTTTTCCGTGAGCATTATTGGCGAGCTCAAACATTTGCATTTTGCGCATTTAACGCATCATGATCATCATCAACACGGTGCATGGGCAGATAGTCCGAAGATGTCCACTGCACATTTCGTAATTTGTTTCCACTTTCCTCTGCCTTGTGCCAATATGTTCAAGTAGTGCCACATCTTTCTGGCACCAATCTCTGATGTTGTTGTCAAGCCATTCTCTGTTAGGTCTTCCTCTCTTTCCACTTCCTACCATTTTTCCCGAACATCGGCACACTTTTTATTTTTTATTACTCTGGGGGGTACACAATCCAGTGGATATCTGAGCCAGTCCCAAGCCTGGATGAAACACGTCGGGAAAAAGGGTTCCGATACTTTGGCCGTGAAGAAAGAAAGGAATCCAATGCACACGACGACCATTAATCAGTGGGAGACGTACAAACACACACTTCACATGCAAATCAAGGTACGGTGGGCGCTGGGACTCACGAGTAGGCCGACAGCGCCCTCTCGATCACGTGCATGGGATGCTCGTCGAGCCGCAGCGCCTCGGCGTTCCTCATCAGCATCTCCTCCTCGAGCTCGCGCAGTCGCAGGGCGACGACTCCGCCACTGTCGCCGTCGTCGTCGTCGTCGTCACGGCACGAGAAGCGAAACACGACCCGGCCGAAGGGACCCCCATTCGCCGCGGCGGGGCCGCCGTCGCCGCCCTCGCCGCCGTCCTCCCCGAGCCACTCGTCCAGGGCGTGCCGAACCTCGACCCGCACCTTGAGGCTCGCGCCCGACTCCGCGTACCCCCCGGCGGCCACGCGCTCCGCTCCGCCGACCGCGACGTCCTCCTCGTCCTCCCCGTCGGCCGGAGCCCGGCGGACGCGCCGCGCCACGATCGGCACGCTCAACTCGACGAGCCGGTCGCCCAGCAGGAGGTCCGACAGGTCCACGAGGGCGACGCCGTAGGAGTCTCTCCCCTCGTCCCCCCCCTGCTCGTTCTCCCCATCCTCGCCCCCCCGCTCCGTCGTCTCGCCGTCGTCGGCGCGACCCGGCGGGTCTCCGCGGCGGTCGTCGGAGCTGTCGCGGCGGAGGTCGCGGTCGTGGAGCTCCACCCGGAGGGGAGGGCCCCGCAGCAGCTGGGCCACGCGAGCGCGGCCCAGGAGGCCCAGGGGCACGGCGCTGACGTCGTCGAAGCGCAGTCGGGGGCCCTGGGCGCGGCCCTCGCTCCGGTGCGGGGTCAGCGGTGCGAAGCGGTAGGAGCAGTACGCGGGCAGGCAGCGCTCCTGCAGCACGTGGACAAGCGCGCGGGGGGAGGGGGTTGGCGGGGGGGGGTGATTTTGATAGAGAGATCTTGATGATTAAAAGAGATGACGATCTTCCCTCTCCCAACCATTTCTCATTCCCCAGTATGTTAGTTGCGTCGCGGTGGCGAGATGCTATCTCCCTCGCCTGGTATGCAGGAGGTTATCGGTTCGATCCCGACCCTGACGCCTGCTGTATATTTGGAGTTTCCATGTTCGTGCTGCGTCCACGTGGATTTTTCCTGGGGCCCTCCGGTTTTTCCCTCCGCATTTAGAAACACGCGTTTAGAGTATTTGGCCGCTATAAAAGTCCACGCGATAAGCCATTTTGTTGAGCTATCATTTGTGGCCAGCACGCTTCTGAAAAAGAGCTACATAGCTCAGTGGGCCTGAGCTTGGTAAATGAACAATAGTTTAGTTGATTTACCTTTGCCCTTACCACCTTTCTCCTCCCTATATACATTTTCACGCCCCTGCACGTGGTCCTCACTTGGGTGTGACAGCGAGTGTCCAACTTCCCCCTACGTAAGGTCCCACCGCGCCGACATCGGGTTGCTGTTTGCTGAGTTTCTGTTCTCCTCCGTTTGCGATCGGCGTCCTGTACCGGGCTCGCGTTGAGTTGCAATAAAAACGTAAAAAACTGATGATGATGATCATGATGATCATCATCATCATCTCTTGGAAAAAAAACTTCTTCTGTACATCAAGCAATCCCCCTCCTTAACCTCCTTCCATTCCTCTCTCAAAGCTCCGCCTCTTCTCCATCGCCCGTTCTCTTCCTCTCCGCTCCACTCCTTCTCGTCACTCCCCTACCCTTTCCTCATCCCTAAGTACCTCGCTATCGCTGTCACGCATTCCTCAATCCTCGTGAGGCCCCTGCCATCTAAATAATTCCACTCTGGCACCGTTTTCTAAAGCTATGTCAAGCGCCTTGAGTGCTTAACAATTCGCTTGTATGAGATCACGATCATTTAAATTAACAGACGATGATGATAATTTTGATTTCAAGCTTTCGTGACTGCAGGGATTCATATTCTTGGTTCTTTCGGTAGAGTCACCACGTAGAATTTTATTGTTTTATATTTTTATTATTTTACTGTTTCCCTTCTACGTGACTTTACCGAAAGAACCAAGAATACAAAGATGATGATAATGTCAGTCGAGTGCTGCACGTGCTGCTGGGTGACCTTGAGCACAGAGAAAGGCACGGGCGCGGCGGGCAAGTCTCTGGCAGACACGATGCGGACGATCATGGGGTTGAGTTGGAGACTCTGCTGCTCGCTCAGGATGGGCTCGCGGCAAGACACGCAGCACAGGGCGTCGAGCAGGCCGGCACGCGGGTGGGACGCGCGCCCACACGCCCTGCGCTCACCTGCAGGGGCGGGCAGTCGGCAAGGCATGGGTGTTTAATACAGAATCATAATCATTTACTTGTCCGGGAGAGCTACGGGACTCTTTTTCAGGAGGGTGGATCATTATCAACCGGCATACCTTGAATTTAACCAACATTTAATGCAACGAAGGAGTGGACAACTGCTACACAGTGGGGGGACCCTGAACCTAAACCCTAACCCTGATCCTAACATCACAACCTTAACCCTAAACCGCAGCCCTAAACCAAACCCTGATAACCTCCCCGAATAATTGTAACAACCCTACTACGACTACGAGCCAAACAGCTGCCACTACCGACCGCAAACCCCGACCCACACCCCGACCGCGAGGACCTCGACGCGGCGCGGCCCCTACCGGCTACGAGCCGCGCCAGGGGCACGGTCAGCCCGAGGGGCTGACGCGGGGCCCCCCTCTCCGCGGCGTGGGCGCCCCCCGCTCCCCGGCGCGGGGTCCCCCGCTCGGTGGCTCGCGCGTCCTCGCGTCGGGGCCGTGGGCTCCCCGTGGCGCTCCCCGCACGGCCGCGCTCCTCTCCATGCACGGGCGGCAGCGGCGGCGGCGGCGGCGTTGGAGGAACTGTGTGGCAGCAGCGGCGGGCGATCGGTGATGCCAATAAATAACAGGTTCCGATTTAAAGTCATCGTAATCACATCTTCGTTTAATTCATCATCATCATCATACGTTCATTTTTAACCCATCGTCATCGTCGTCATCGTCGTCGCCCACTGCCACGTGGTCGTCACGAGCCGTTGTCGTGAATCCGGTGGCACTCACCGGCCGTGCCCTTCTCGTGCTGCCCTTGCCCCGCCTTGCCCTCCTCCTCCCCCACCTCCTCCCTCTCCCTCTCCTCCTTCCCGGCCCCGCGTGCCCGCGCCGGCTCGAGCTGCGCCAGCATCCTCCGCACCAGCTTCTGCACGCGGTCTGGGGACACGGCGCCGGATTCACAAGGGTCCCGACCGACCTCGGTTGTGCGTCGGTCGGTCATTCACTCACTCACAACACCTCAGTCTGTTTCATCACACAGAGAGTCGCGTCGGGGAACTTTTTGACCAGAACAGGGACTTTGCAGTTGATGATGATTAGGAGGAACGTGAGAGCTTTGACGAAGGTAAAATCAACTGTGGCCGAATGTCTTCACCGAGTGGTGTCGCCACCTGGTTTCATGTTTAAATGTCATGTTCTGAAGTCGACATCCTTCAAAATGTACAAATATGAACTCTCATAGGCCAAGGTTCTCCTGAAGATGAGGGTCAAACTATGTGCCCTCGGAATATTGGAGTACCCAACATCGAAAAAATATTGGGTTTTTTTTATATTAAAAAGATCTACTGTCACATTTGAATCCATCGCCCCGACAAAACTTCCACGTGGCGACTTTAATTGGCCCAAGTCAAAAAAGATCGGTGCGTTAGGTGTTTATGGGTTTTTTTTTCTAAGTTATAAGTAGGAAGTGAAATGTACCACCCTGCCGAGACTGGGGCCAGGAGTCTTCCACTGCCTCCCCCTCTCATCCCCATCACAGCTCGTGTCCTAAGTCGTTAAAACATTATTTCCTCCCTTAACATCATCAACCTTCCTTACAAACATATCCTGAAGCAGAAGTTTAGTGCTGGCTACAGCCAAATTTCTTCATGGCATTGATAACTTTGATCCTCACCCATGTATCGAGAGTTAAATTTTAATGTGACTTTTTTGAGGGACTGTGTGTTGTGTTGGCGTGGTCTGGAAATGTTTTTGAGCGCCACGGTGGCGAGATGTTATCTGCTTTGCCTGGTATGCAGGAGGTCGTGGGTTCGATCCCGACCCTGATGCCTGCATATTTGGAGTTTGCATGTTAACCCCGTGGTCACGTGGATTTTTCTCCGGGTCCTCCAGTTTTTAACTCAACATTTAGAAGCATTCGTTTAGAGTGTTTGCCTGCTATAAATGTTCACGTGATAAGCCACTTCGTTGAGCTATCATTTGTGGCCAGGTCGCGTCTGTAAAAGAGCTATGTAGCTTAGTGGGCCTTACCTGGTCAAATAAAAAAATAACTGGGTTGTAGTTTTAGTTTCGTTTTTGTTGTGCTGCCTTGCCCAAGATTGCATTTAGTGCTGAAACATCGGCAGGAATTGATGCGCTTATGCAAATGTGTACTGATATAATTTATTTTTATTTCGTAAAAAAAAGTGCTTCATAGCTCATCGGATTTCTTCCAGTCTAAGTAAACGCTATGATTTTGATACCCAAGCGCCTGGGATCCGTCTCGGAGCGCTGGCGCAGGCCCGTGGGCCGGTCGTGCCTGGCCCTCTGCGAGAGTCGCTCGCGGCCCTCCCACACGCTCAGGCGGCCGGCCGAGAAGCGGGACGACATGAGGGCCAGCAGCTGCTCCCCGGACGGGGAAACGCGGGCCTCCTGCGTCCACGCCACCCACGAGCGCGGCCCCTCGGACCACGCGCGCACCACCTGTGAGGGGGGGGGCGGGGGGGGGGGGGCAGGGGGTTGGGCGAGGGAGTCAGAAGGAGTCAGGCTGGCGGCGTGCGTTCGGAACGGGCCCGGGGTCGACAATGACGACGGAACGGCAGCCAAAGGAGGGGAAACACCGCCGGATAAAATAAAAAAAAGAACATCCACGACGAAGAGAATCTAAACTAAAATAAACTTTTTATTTTACAATGTGTGGGGCTCACTGAGATATGTAGCCCTTTTTCAGAAGCGAACTGGCCACACGATATCTCTACGAAGTGACTTATCGCATGGAAATTTATAGCAGCCAAAAACTCTGAACGCTTGATGTTGATTATAAATGTGGAGGGAAACATTGTAGGACCCGGAGAAAAATTCACGTGACCACGGGCAGAGAGATCATGCAAACTTCAAATATACAGGCGTCTGGGTCGAGATCGAACCCACGACCTCCTGAATACCAGGCGTGGTAGTTAACATCTCGCCACCACGGCGCCCCAATCAGTGATGAGACCAGCCCGTGCATAGGTTGTGGAAGTATCTCTCGATTGAAAACGAATTTCTTTGCAACCACTTTTTGTATCTAGTTTTGTTGTTTTTTCCCGCACCTCCGATTAACACGGTTGGCTACGTACGGCGTGAAAGAAGTTCAACATACGTACAACCCCGCGACGACAATCCGACCGAGATGTCTGCCATCGTCATGGTACCTTGGTGTCGCCGCCGCTGTAGACCCTGGCCACGGAGCCGTAGAACACCACGTCGGCCTTCTCCACCCGGCCAGGCATCAGGAGTAGCTCGCAGTGGAAGCAGGCGGTGGCTCCCGCAGCCTCGCTCGCTCCGACTCCCGCGGCTCCATCCCCTCGCGGGCGACCCCGGCGCCCGGCGGCTCCAGGCCGGAGCGACGCGGCCTCGCCCTGAGCGCCCTCCGCTGAGGTGGCAGTGGCGGAGGGTCGCGTGCGTATTTTATTTACAGTTTACTTGTTTTACCCAGGAAAGCTTCGTCGAGTCTCCGGACTCAGGAGGGTGCTGCCAAGCTTTCGCAGTCGGGGGCAATATCACAGAGTAGATCCCAATTGAGCCGTTGGCAAAATGAAACTGAACGAAACTTTTTGTTTTATTTTATCAGGCAAGGCCCACTGAGCCATACAACTCTTTTTCTGAATGGAACTGGCCACAAATGGTAGCTCAACGAAGTGGATTACCCCGTGAAAATGTATTGCAGCCAAATACTCGACGCACATTTTTCTAAATGCGAAGGGAACAAGCCCGGTACACCCGGAGAAAAAGCCAAGCGGAGAAAAATAAAAAAAAAATTGCACCATGACGCCACCACATAATGGCCCACGCTTGCAAATGACGCCACGGGATCTGTAACGTCTACCGTGAGCAGACGTGCGCGTATAATTACAGGTTAACACACCCGCGGTATTAATCAGGGCGGCCGCTGGATTCGAACCGGCGAACGCATTGCCCGCTGTGCCGCGTCTCCGCCCCTGTTGAGAGGTGTCCGTCCATGTTATCCACGAGGCTCCTGCGAGCGACCCAGCTACAACCCCAGCAACAATAGCCACAATAACAACGTAGTGTCTAAACAAAGATCCCCCGTATGGCCTGGATAGACTGCTGGGGAAAGTGCTGCTAGCGAACACCGATGAAGGCCGGCACAGCACACGAGGGGGTGGGTGGCCAGCATCGCGCCCGATCGCCTTTGTCTCCCCAGTGACGATGTTTTTACACACCGCACCAGGTATTAAATATGTGGCTGAGTCGACCTAGGGAAGGCCCAGGACTGGTTCAGATAATCATCACTGGTGTTGGTCGCCGTAAGCGGGAATCGAACTCGGGTGACCAGTTTCGTAGCACCGCTGCCCGACTGCTCCCCACACGGTAGGGCATCCGTAGACAGTTCCAGCAACAGCCACAGCACCAGTAAATTCCTTAAACAGCAGCACCAGCAAATAGCACCAATTGCCTGTAACAGCGATGGCACCAGCAATACCTTCAACAGCACGAGCAACAGCAGCATCAGCTACAGGTAACATAAACAACAACGGCAGTACTCAGCCTCGGATCGAGCGACAGCCCACAGCTTACGCACCAAGGCTGCAGCCACCGGCTTCAACAAGAGAAACGGCGCACGTGTTCACGGCAGAGCCACCAGCTTCAACAAGAGAAACGGCGCACGTGTTGTTCACGGCAGAGCCACCGGCTTCAACAAGAGAAACGGCGCACGTGTTGTTCACGGCAGAGCCACCGGCTTCAACAAGAGAAACGGCGCACGTGTTCACGGCAGAGCCACCGGCTTCAACAACAGAAACGGCGCACATGTTGTTCACGGCAGAGCCACCGGCTTCAACAAGAGAAACGGCGCACGTGTTCACGGCAGAGCCACCGGCTTCAACAAGAGAAACGGCGCACGTGTTCACGGCAGAGCCACCGGCTTCAACAAGAGAAACGGCGCACGTGTTCAGGGCAGAGCCACCGGCTTCAACAAGAGAAACGGCGCACGTGTTCACAGCAGAGCCACCGGCTTCAACAAGAGAAACGGCGCACGTGTTGTTCACGGCAGAGCCACCAGCTTCAACAAGAGAAACGGCGCACGTGTTGTTCACGGCAGAGCCACCAGCTTCAACAAGAGAAACGGCGCACGTGTTCACGGCAGAGCCACCGGCTTCAACAAGAGAAACGGCGCACGTGTTGTTCACGGCAGAGCCATCGGCTTCAACAAGAGAAACGCCGCACGTGTTGTTCACGGCAGAGCCACCGGCTTCAACAAGAAAAACGGCGCACGTGTTGTTCACGGCAGAGCCACCGCCTTCAACAAGAGAAACGGCGCACGTGTTGTTCACGGCAGAGCCACCGGCTTCAACAACAGAAACGGCGCACGTGTTCACGGCAGAGCCACCGGCTTCAACAACAGAAACGGCGCACGTGTTGTTCACGGCAGAGCCACCGGCTTCAACAATAGAAACGGCGCACGTGTTCACGGCAGCAGTTCCAGCATCAACGACGACTTCAGGCTGTGCGAGCAAAACCCTCCGCTACAGCTTTAACAGTTTCAGCAGCAGCAGTAGCCGCAACAGGCTGAGAAACAGCACCAAACTGCAGCTTTAATGACCACAGCACCAGCAGTATCAACAACGCCACGTCCTCGACCACAGCCGCCAATCTCAGCCCCAACTTAACGGTTTGATTCCAGCAGTGGATCGAATCACCAAACTCACACAGCCGGGGAAAGTCGCCGGCGATTTTAACGAGGAATGGCAATTATGCGGAGAAACGATTCATGGTCGCGCCTCTAGTGACTGCAGGGCTCATGTGGGTAAATTAATACAATAGTGTACAACACAGGCAAAGATCGCCCATGTAGCCTTAACAGACTGTTGGGGCAAGTGCTGTTAGCGAGCACCTATGAAGGCCGGCACGGCACACGAGGGGGTGGGTGGCCAGCACCATGCTCGTCGTGATGTTTACACGCCGCACCAGGTACTCATTTGAGGCTGAGTCGACCTAGGGGAGGCCCAGGACCGGTTCAGATAATCGTCACCGGTGTTGGTGGCCGTGAGCGGAAATTGAACTCAGGTCGCCGGGTTCGCTCACACACACACACACATCTACATGGAACGATGGAATGCATCTCTTGAGTTAATAATCCTTTTCAATCGATGAATGCGTTGCACGAACATCATCGTCATCAGCCAAGGTTTATCCACTGCTGGATGATAGGTGTCGCCAAAGCCGCCGCGTTCTTTAACCATCCTGCGATGTTAATACATTAGACTCCTTACATGTCGACACACACATTGTGTGTTTTGGTTAGGCCACACCGTAGTTATGTGGCAAAATTATTGTCGTTAACTCTCCACCACCCGACAAACGTGTTACTTATACAGTGAGGGAGAGTATTTGATCCCCTGCTGATTTTGTACGTTTGCCCACTGACAAAGAAATGATCAGTCTACAATTTTAATGGTAGGTTAATTTGAACAGTGAGAGACAGAATAACAACAAAAAAATCCAGAAAAACGCATGTCAAAAATGTTATAAATTGATTTGCATTTTAATGAGGGAAATAAGTATTTGACCCCTCTGCAAAACATGCCTGAGTACTTGGTGGCAAAACCCTTGTTGGCAATCACAGAGGTCAGACGTTTCTTGTAGTTGGCCACCAGGTTTGCACACATCTCAGGAGGAATTTTGTCCCACTCCTCTTTGCAGATCTTCTCCAAGTCATTAAGGTTTAGAGGCTGACGTTTGGCAACTCGAAACTTCAGCTCCCTCCACAGATTTTATATGGGATTAAGGTCTGGAGACTGGCTAGGCCACTCCAGGACCTTAATGTGCTTCTTCTTGAGCCACTCCTTTGTTGCCTTGGCCGTGTGTTTTGGGTCATTGTCATGCTGGAATACCCATCCAGGCCCCATTTTCAATGCCCTGGCTGAGGGAAGGAGGTTCTCACCTAAGATTTGACGGTACATGGCTCCGTCCATCGTCCCTTTGATGCGGTGAAGTTGTCCCGTCCCCTTAGCAGAAAAACACCCCCAAAGCATAATGTTTTCACCTCCATGTTTGACGGTGGGGATGGTGTTCTTGGGGTCATAGGCAGCATTCCTCCTTCTCCAAAACACGGCGAGTTGAGTTGATGCCAAAGAGCTCAATTTTGTTCTCATCTGACCACAACACTTTCACCCAGTTGTCCTCTGAATCATTCAGATGTTCATTGGCAAACTTCAGACGGGCATGCATATGTGCTTTCTTGAGCAGGGGGACCTTGCGGGCACTGCAGGATTTCAGTCCTTCACGGCGTAGTGTGTTACCAATTGTTTTCTTGGTGACTATGGTCCCAGCTGCCTTGAGATCATTGACAAGATCCTCCCGTGTAGTTCTGGGCTGATTCCTCACCGTTCTCATGATCATTGCAACTCCACGAGGTGAGATCTTGCATGGGGCCCCAGGCCGAGGGAGATTGACAGTTCTTTTGTGTTTCTTCCCTTTGCGAATAATCGCACCAACTGTTGTCACCTTCTCACCAAGATGCTTGGCAATGGTCTTGTAGTCCATTCCAGCCTTGTGTAGGTGTACAATCTTGTCCCTGACATCCTTGGAGAACTCTGGTCTTGGCCATGGTGGAGAGTTAGGAATCTGATTGATTGCTTCTGTGGACAGGTGTCTTTTATACAGGTAACAAGCTGAGATTAGGAGCACTCCCTTTAAGAGTGTGCTCCTAATCTCAGCTCGTTACCTGTATAAAAGACACCTGGGAGCCAGACATCTTTCTGATTGAGAGGGGGTCAAATACTTTTTTCCCTCATTAAAATGCAAATCAATTCATAACATTTTTGACATGCGTTTTTCTGGAATTTTTTGTTGTTATTCTCTCTCACTGTTCAAATAAACCTACCACTAAAATTATAGACTGATCATTTCTTTGTCAGTGGGCAAAGTACAAAATCAGCAGGGGATCAAATACTTTTTTCCCTCACTGTACGTGGCTGGATGATACTTCTCACGATGGGATTCAACATCACCAAAAGTAATGAAAAGCGCCAGCTACCAGTGCCGAGGATGAGGATTTTCGGGTCGGAATTACATCGAGGCGTTGGTAGTGTGAATAATAATAATATCTCTGTAAACGTGACGACCGTGTCAGGTGATGCAGAGTGAATTACCCAAAAAAAACGACTATGCGGCCCAACCCAAAAACCTAACATGGATCAATGCATTGGTTACGAAAACCAACGTTTTAATTGAATCCTATAAAACATCAGCTGCACACTCGGCGGGGCTCTACCCTAATTACTAATTAGCGTCATGAATAATGCATCCCATGGGGTTCCTTCCACGTTCTTTGAAGAAAATAAAAACAGCTCTAAATTCTCAACTCCCCATAGTTCGTTTAACACGTAGACTATAAATGTTGTGACTTGGCTCTCCAACACACCGGTGTGCTGTACTGGTGACGAATTGCATGTTCTGTTTACGTAACAGTCCATACTAGTTGGCTGTGTCGGTTGGTGGTGGATTTTAACGACACATTTATATATCCCCATAGTTCACCTTGCTTGACACCCTCATTGTGTCTCGTGTGGCTATTAATGAACACGTAAATGGCATGAATGGCCCTATGTTGGTCGCTGTATTGATGCAGCCAGAGACACGTCGTGGTAAATCAGGGTGCGATTCATAAACGAGCTTAATTATTGCTCAGAGCCCGTGTGAGCCAATTACTGCAGCACGCAGAATGGGGTTCGCACCGCTCTCATCAACATAGCTAATCAGTCAAGGCGTCTAAATAACGCTGATGTCGGGCAATTATGCCTGTATTTGGCTGCTGCTAAGTGTTACACTTGCGACTGATTGGTGTGTATTGGTGATATTTGCACACCTGGTGCGGTGTGAAAATATCGCCACTGGGGAGACAAAGGCGGTAGCGCGTGGTGCTAGTCACCTTTCTCCTCGTGTGCCGTGCCGGCCTTCATAGGTGCTCACTAACAGCACTTGCTCCAACAGTCTGTTAAGCCTATACGGGGGGCCTTTGTCTCTGTGTCCAAGTTGAGTGAGTGCTGGATGTGTGTGTACTCTGTACTGGGTGCGTGTATTTGGTGTGTAAGTGCATGTGTAACTGGGTGTATGTGTGTGTGGCGTATATACTGTTTGTCTGGGTGTTCCGCGTACCATGTGTGTGCGTGTGTGCGTGCTGGAGGGGGTACGGATGCACGGGTTAGGTGTGCGAGTGGGACTTGGGTTCTCGAGCGCTTTGAGTGCGTAGGTGCTTGAGTATGTGTGGTTGGTTCTGGGTGTTTGGGGACATGGGTGCCTGTATGTGTGGGTGCCTGTGTGCGTGGGTGCCTGAGTACATGGGTGCCTGTGTGCGTGGGTGCCTGGCTACATGGGTGCCTGTGTGCGTGGGTGCCTGGGTACATGGGTGTCTGTGTGCGTGGGTGCCTGGGTACATGGGTGCCTGTGTGCGTGGGTGCCTAAGTACATGGGTGCCTGTGTGCGTGGGTGCCTGAGTACATGGGTGTCTGTGTGCGTGGGTGCCTGGGTACATGGGTGCCTGTGTGCGTGGGTGCCTGAGTACATGGGTGCCTGTGTGCGTGGGTGCCTGGGTACATGGGTGCCTGCTCACGTGGCCCATGAACTTTATGGGTGCGTGGTTGCGTTTCACACCGTTGGGCAGAGCGAGGGCAATGGTGATGGTGATCGTGAGTTCATGGCTTGGACTCGGCCCCTGTGTAGGGGTGCCCCCCTCCACATCCCCGGGCCCCTCTCGCTCCATGGGGCTCCCTGGTCCCTCTCCGCCGACCTCGGCAGAGGCCGTGGTGTTGCCACCGTCCTGTGTGCACGCAAGAGCGTCGCACGCGCTTTTATTCATTTTATTACGACTATAAGCAACGAATGTACAGTCAACGGTATTAGTATTACATATCGATCATTGCCATCATCGTCATCAATATATTGGTACGAATATGAAACGTTATTTTGATTTAAATATCAGCAGCAACGTCATCACCATCACCACTTAGGTACTCACCATGGTTGTCATTCCCCGAAATGTCAATCCTTCATCATCAAAACGTAGCTGAATTCAATGGTCGTGGGGAGGCATTCATTCATCAGTGGATTCATAACGGGCAAAACATTGTTCTTTAGAACTGCATTTGATGTATCCAGTAACGTCACACTGAGTCTCCGGACTATTCTCTATTTCAGGAGGGTTCTGCTACATACGGACATTTGACCAATATCATTTATGAGAGTTTGGTCGGAAGAAAAAAATAAACTCCCTGCAGAGAACGCCGAGAAACTCCGTCACCCATAATAGAGGGTGGTTTTGGGTTAGATCGCGTAAATATATAAGTGCGTCGTTAAACCCGCCACCACCCGACACAGCCAACTAGTAAGATTTGTCACGTAAACAGAACATGCTAATTCGTTACTAGTACAGCACACCGGTGTGTTGGAGAGTAAACACAACATTTATAATTCGAGTATGACGTTTCGCCGGTAATTACAACCAGCTTCATCAGGCGACAGCCTGAGTTATAGAGAAATCCTCCTGTTTCGTTCTTAAAGTTATGGATAATGGATATTGATCGCTAAAGCCTACGTGTAAAAAAATCCATCACCCAACACACACGTACATACTAGGGAGTGTTCACTCAATACACTCAGGTAATTAGAGTTAACACCCGTCTTCACTAAACAGCAATAACTCCAGTAGTGGACTTGAACAGCTCGTAAAAAAACAACACACCAGCACGTACCGTAATGGGCAAACGAAACGCTTTTTTTAAAAGTGTGGGTTCATCCCCCTCGCGGCGCTTCTCCGATACCTGCGGTTCCTCGTCCATGTTGACCCCAGCGAGGGTCAAGTTGGAGTTGTGTGGTGGTGATGGTGATGGTAAGGATCGGTCAAGTTGGATGTCCGACTCGGGCGGGGGGTCAAATGGTGGTGGTGGTGGGGGGGTTATCCCCTGGATACACTCCATCCCACCCGGTCGCGTCCCCGCAGCTCCTTCACTTGTCCCCCCATCCCCTCTCGCTCGCCCCGTTCGCTGCGTAGCGGCAGCGGCGGGGGGGGGGGGGTCTCTTTACGTGCGGCAGTCGTTAAGAGGGGCCGTGCAAAACACGGCGTGAAGGCTGTTGCCACAAACGGTAGCTATGGCTACTCGCGGCGTTCGTTCGCCCGCCCGCCCGCACGCACGCCCGCACGCTCGCCCGCCAGGCTTAGTGCGAGCACGCCCCACTTCGCGGCCACCAAAAAAAAATTCCGGCCGGCAGATTATTGGTGGTGGGGTGGCATGGGCAGGGCAGGTTCAGACATCACTCGCCGCCGACGTTAGCCGTGGCCCGGGAATTTAATTCGTGCGATGCCAACGTTTGGCGAACGCAGCACCGCGGGAGACCGTCACTGCGCCAACAGCTCCCCTTAGTTTTGAGGCTCAAATAAGTTTAATTCCCCGCCTACGGAGAGCGTCAATGGGCGAGTGATATCCGAGTCCGTAGTGGGAGTCCGCCCTCGACCAATCAGCAGTGGCCAGCGTGAATTAAGTATGGTCAGTCAACCCACATGGCTGCTTGTAGCGTGGGGAGGCCTTCATCCAGCGGTGGAATAATGATGATGACAGGACCCTATTTGTGAAAAAGAATCAGAATCTGTGTTTATACGGGATGAATCCGATGAGCTATGAAGCTCTTTATTCACATATGTCCAGTAGTAAAAGGTTGTTTTTGGTTTGTATGCCAGGAGAGTCAAATAGTCGTATGACTCATTTTCAAGAGTCTCCTGAATTGAGTTTTTATTTCGTTTTTCAAAGGCGCTTTCAGTCAATTAAAAAGAGAGTTTATACAATCTTAATCTGAAGCTTTCGTGACTGCAGGAATCCATACTCTTTGGTTCTTTTGGTAAAGTGACGTAGGTAAAAATAAAATAAAACTAAATAAAATATTTCTACCTACGTGACTTTACCGAAAGAACCAAAGAGTAAAGAGTTTATACAAGTGGAAGGAACCCGGAGCATCCTAGGAAAGCCCACACGCGAGAGAGGACAACAACTCAATCCCCATACGGATAGACACAGATGGCGATTAGTCCATCCGCTGTACTGCCTTCTTCTGGCGAGCCACCAACTCTGCATCTACGTTGAACTTATTTTTGCACCGTACGTAGCCAACCGTGCTAATTGGAGGTGCGGGGGAATGGCAACATATTAAACACAAAAATAAGTTGTAAATAACTGTAACCCTCGCCTCCACAGTAAAAAATTAACATTTTTTTTTATTTTATCAGGTAAGGCCCACTGAGATATGCAGCTGTCTTTCAGAAGCAGCCTGGCCATAAATGACAAGCTCTACGAAGTGGCTTATCACGTGGACATTTATAGCAGCCAAATACTCTAAACGCGTGATGTTTATTCGACCAAGGGGAGAACACGCAAACTCCAACTATACAGGCGTCAGGGTCTGGATCGAACCAACGATCTCCTGTATACCAGGCGAGGTAGCTAACATCTCGCCACCGTGGCGCCCACAGTGCTGGGTTACAGGCGTGCATAGTCACCGCTGCCCGTATATTGGGAATGTAGTAGTGGTAATGCGTCGTCATGTGTGGCGGAGTGTTCGTGAGTGTAAAATCACCCCGACTTGCTCCATTGCCTCGCAGGAGACACGGCAGGTATTCCAAGCACGCCGAGTTACACGCAAGCGCCACGGCGTGTTTATAGTCATGGGTTGTGCCGATATCCACAGCTTGGACTCGCTGGGGTCAACTCGCGTGGGCTACTGGGGTCGAGGTCACGAAAACGAGCCCCTCAATAGTTCAAACAGCCCCCCGCCCCCCATCCCCTCCATTCATCCGAGCTCTTCCAAACGTCACAAGTTGTTAATGGCCAACAGCTGCAAGACCTAAAGCCTTGGTAGAGACACACACGGGCACACAAAGCTCTCTCGTATGGCCCTTTAATAGACTGTTTGGGGCAAGTTGCTGTTCACGGACACCTCTATTAAGACCGGCACGGCCAGGACCACGCCCGGCCCTGCCTTTGTTACTAAACTGCTGATGTTTGCATCACCGTAGCAGATACCGTTTCCTTGCCAGCTGATTCGACACACGGGACGTCCAACAATGGGTTTAGGTATCACTCGCGACCGATGTTAGCCGTGTTCGTAACGCATTCCGCGAATCACTGCGACATCGCTCCAACAGCCGCCGTTCGCCATTGAGTGGCGGCGACGTCGCCACGGGCACTTGTGCCAAGCTAGGTGCACCTTTGACGCCACGTGAAGTGTGGAGGGCTCTCCGCCGGCAGGTCACTGGACAGACCAAGGTTGCCGTGGCTTGACTGACTCAGTTGACTGACGGATGCACCAACCTGTATTCGCCACTGTGTTGAGCTTGCCGCGTTATAGGCGACCTGTTGTTGGAAGTGAACTGCCCCCCAACTGCCACTCAGCGTCCCCCCCCCCACGAGCCTCCACGCTAGGGCTGCACGATTTTGGGGGGAAATATCTAATTGCGATTTTTCTGACAGATTGCGATTTGATCTGCGATTTTTTTTCTTTTTTTAAAGTCAAGCTTCAGTTCAATATTCACTGCGTGATATATTTAAAACACGTGATGGAGCATTACCACATGATACCGTCAAAATATGAGCTGCTCTATATGTTCTAATGCAAGGATGAGAACTTAAAATATATGAATTGCTTCCAATATGTATTTATTTAAAAAAATGCAATTGAAATTGAACAATCAAACATACTGTAGAACAATTGTTAAGTTAAATACGTGAAGTTATAATAAAAAGCAAACAATTCTAATAAGAAATTAATAGGACTTTTAAAATCGCAAAAAGTCGCAGCCTTTGCAATTTGCTGATCGCATTGTTTCAAATTGCGATTTCGATTTGAAATCGATTAATCGTTCAGCCCAACTCAACACGAACAGAAAGATCCCCCGTGTAGCCTTAACAGACTGTAGGGGCAAGTGCTGTTAGTGAGCGCGCTATTAAGGACGGACAGCACGGCACACGAGGGCGTGAGTAACTAGCACCACGCCCGGCCGCCTTTGTCTCTCCAAATGCTGATAGTTTACACAACGCACCTGGTACTAAATCTGAAGGCTGTCGACTTGGGGGAGGTCCAGGACCGGTTCAAATATTTGTCACTGGCGTTGACCGTGAGCGAGAATCGAACTCGGGTAGCAGGGGTCCGAAGCGCAAGGCGCTAACCACCGCGCCACCGCTCGCCACACAAAAAGATAGAGATCCCCCGTATGGCCTTAACAGACTGTAGGGGCAAGTGCTGTTAGCGAGCACCTATGAAGGCCAGAATGGCACACGAGGGGGTCGGTGGCCAGCACCACACCCGACCGCCTTTGTCTCCCCAGTGGCGATGTTTACACACCGCACCAGATACTCATTTGAGGCTGAGTCGACCTAGGGGAGTCCCAGGATCGGTTCAGATAATCGTCACTGGTGTTGGCCATGAGCGGAAATCGAACCCAGGTCGCCGGGTTTATAGTGCAGCGCGCTAACCGCTACACTATCGCCACACGCACACACACGCACACAGATACACACACACGCACTTAAACACGCTCATCCTGTGCATGTCTGCCATGAATTCACTGCGGCCAGGGCACGGGAGGCTTTTAGAGCTGCGAGTGAGTGGAGTGGGAGGATGCGGGCTATAGCATGCAGGCTCTATTATACGGGCTTGGGGCTGCAGGGTCCGGTGATAGGGGAGCGGTGGCGCAGTGGTTAGCGCGCTGTGCTACAACGTCCCGAGTTCAATTCCCGTTCACGGCCATCACCGGTGACTTTTATCTTAAACGGTCCTGGGCCTCCCCTAGGTCGACTCAGCCACAAATGAGTACCTGGTGCGGTGGCTACACATCGCCACTAGCGAGACAAAGGCGGTCGGTAGTGGTGCTGGTCACTGATCCCCCCTCGTGTGCCATTCATAGGTGCTCGCTAACAGCACTTTCCCCATCAGACTGTTCAGGCTATCCGGGGGATATTTTTCTTGTTTGACGATGGGGGTCGCGATGGTTGTTGTGGTTGTTGTGATTCATATATCGTCTACATGCACCCACTTCTTAAGCCGCTATACAGAAACGGATGGCGTATTTATTTTAGAGAGGGAGATGCAGTCAGCGACAGGTCGAGCACAAGCATGGTCTTGTGATTCCACGTGTGATGCGAGTGATGATAGAGGAAGTGGTGAGTTAGGTCGGTGGTGGATGCGTTGGTGGGTGCGATGGTGGTCTTGGGGATGGTGCGTGGTGGGGATGGTCGGTGTGGTGGTGGAGGTTGTGGGGATGGTGGATCGTGGATGTGGTGGGTGTAGTGGTGTTGATGGTGGGGATGGTGGGTGGTGGATGTGGGGGTAGTTGTAGGGATGGCCGGTGTGGTGGGGGTGGCGGGGACGGTGGGTGTGGTGGTGGTGATGGCAGCGGGGATGGTCGGTGTGGTCGTGGGGGTGGTGGGTGGGGTTGGTGGGTGTGGTAGTGGTGGTGGGTGGGTGGACATGCTGGCGGGAGGCAGAGCCATCAATTCCGTCCCGTACGCACCGCCGCTGTGCAAGACAGAGAGACCCGCGCGGCGAAGTCAGTGATGCGTGAGCCACGTCACGGCCACACTCAGTCACCGCGCGTCGCGTAGCCTTCGCTGCACACGGGCGGCGCCTCGCCTCCACCAGCCGGGCCACCACCTCCGCCACGGGACGATGAGATCGCTGCCGGGCGCTGGGGCCATCGTGGCCAGCGACCCAGCGCGCCGGGAGGTCGCGCTGGGACGGACTCAGTGGCTGGCGGGGGCTCTGGCGCTGCGCTTTGGCTTGGACCGAGGCGTGGAGAACGAGGTGGCCGTGCTCTCCACGGGACTGGACCAGTACCTGCAGGAGACCTTCCACCACCTGGACTACCGCGGCCGGGGCACGGTGGAGGCGCAGGACTTCAGGGCACTATGCGAGCTGATCGGGGTCGGTGGGGCGCGCGGGATGAAGGGCGAGAAGCAGCAGCAACAGCAGCAGCAGAAGCAGCACGAGGTGCATGATGGAGATGCCGAGGGGAAGGAGCGGGGGGAGCAGGATGGAGATGCCAAGGAGAAGACGAAAGAGGAGGAGGAGGAGGCGCGAGGGGTCTTGGAGGAGCTGCCCGATGAAGTGTCCTTCGAGGAGTTCCACGCGCGCCTCTGCGGCTTCTTTAGCGAGAAGGGGGGCACGGTGCGGGATTGGGGGTGCTTCACTCTTGCGCCCGCAGGAGAGGAGCGCGTGCACGTGGAGGCGCGCGTAACCAGAACCGGGCCGCTGCGACGCAGGATGACCACCACCACCACCGCCGGCATCACCAGCAGCAGCACCCCCACCTTGAGCATAAGCACCAGCGGGAGTAGCAGCAGCAGCAGCAACAGGCGCATCAACGGTAGCAGCAGCAGCAGCAAGGTTGTGTCCTTCGACCTCGAAGGCAGCGAGAGACTCGCAAAAGCGCGCACGTTCCCTGCTCCGCAGCGCGCCGCGCGCTCCTCCTTCGCCCCCTCCTCGTCCTCCTCCTCCTCCGCGTTCTCCTCGCCGGCCCATTGCGACGGAGGCCGCTGCTGCGAGCTCGTGGTGTCGCTGGAGCAGTTGGAGGACGAGACGGAGGCGCTGCGCGACGAGAACGAGGCGCTCCGGGAGATCGCCGAGGGGATGCGCTGCGCCCTCCAGCGCTCGGACGCGCGCTGCCTGGCGCTGCACGTGGCGCTGGCGCGGAGCCACGGCGCGCACGACGGCTGCTTCCTAGCGCGGGGGCACCCCGAGGGCGAGACCCTGGGTGAGACTCCGACACCGAGAGGCGCGCCGTCCGCAGGGAGCATAACGAGCGCGGGGGCAGGGGGCACCTCCCCCACTCACTACTCCACTGATAATGTAGTCACTACGTCACTGATAGTGTAGTCACTACACCACTGATAATGTCGTCACTACACCACTGATAATGTAGTTACTACGTCACTGATAATGTCGTTACTGCAATGCTGATAATGTAGTCACTACACCACTGATAATGTAGTCACTACACCACTGATAATGTAGTCACTACGTCACTGATAGTGTAGTCACTACACCACTGATAATGTAGTTACTACACCACTGATAATGTAGTTACTACGTCACTGATAATGTCGTTACTGCAATGCTGATAATGTAGTCACTACACCACTGATAATGTAGTCACTACACCACTGATAATGTAGTCACTACGTCACTGATAGTGTAGTCACTACACCACTGATAATGTAGTTACTACACCACTGATAATGTAGTTACTACAACACTGATAATGTAGTCATTACACCACTGATAATGTAGTCACTACACCACTGATAATGTAGTCACTACGTCACTGATAGTGTAGTCACTACACCACTGATAATGTAGTTACTACACCACTGATAATGTAGTTACTACTCCACTGATAATGTAGTTACTACACCACTGATAATGTAGTCACTACACCACTGATAATGTAGTTACTACAACACTGATAATGTAGTCACTACGTCACTGATAGTGTAGTCACTACACCACTGATAATGTAGTTACTACACCACTGATAATGTAGTTACTACTCCACTGATAATGTAGTCACTACGCCACTGATAATGTAGTTACTACACCACTGCTAATGTAGTTACTACGCCACTGATAATGTAGTCACTACACCACTGATAATGTAGTTACTACACCACTGATAATGTAGTCACTACGCCACTGATAATGTAGTTACTACACCACGGCTAATGTAGTTACTACGCCACTGATAATGTAGTCACTACACCACTGATAATGTAGTTACTACGCCACTGATAATGTAGTTACTACGCTACTGATAATATAGTTACTACGTCACTGATAATGTAGTCACTACACCACTGATAATGTAGTTACTACTCCATTGATAATGTAGTTACTACACCACTGATAATATAGTTACTGCGTCACTGATAATGTAGTCACTACACCACTGATAATGTAGTTACTACACCACTGATAATGTAGTTACTACGTCACTGATAATGCAGTTACTACACCATTGATAATGTAGTTACTACACCACTGATAATGTAATCACTACGCCACTGATAATGTAGTCACTACACCACTGATAATGTAGTTACTACTCCATTGATAATGTAGTTACTACGTCACTGACAATGTAGTTACTACGCTACTGATAATGTAGTTACTACTCCACTGATAATGTAGTCACTACGCCACTGATAATGTAGTCACTACACCACTGATCATGTAGTCACTACGCCACTGATAATGTAGTTACTACACCACTGATAATGTAGTTACTACGCCACTGATAATGTAGTTACTACGCCACTGATAATGTAGTTACTACGCCACTGATAATGTAGTTACTACACCACTGATAATGTAGTTACTATGCCACTGATAATGTAGTCACTACACCACTGATAATGTAGTTACTACGCCAATGATAATATAGTTGCTACACCACTGATAATGTAGTCACTACGCCACTGATATCACTGATAATGTAGTTACGACGTCACTGATATCACTGATAATGTAGTTACTACGTCACTGATAATGAAGTTACTACGTCACTGATAATGTAGTTACTACACCACTGATAATGTAGTCACTACGCTACTGATAATGTAGTTACTACGCCACTGATAATGTAGTTACTACGTCACTGATAATGTGGTTACTACGTCACTGATAATATAGTTACTACACCACTGATAATGTAGTCGCTACTCTATTGATAATGTAGTCACTGATATCACTGATAATGTAGTTACTACGTCACTGATATCACTGATAATGTAGTTACTACGTCACTTATAGTTTAGTTACTACGTCACTGATAATGTCGTTTCTGCGTCACTAGTAATGTAGTTACTACGTCACTGTCTCTCTGTGGTCAGTCTTCTCCGTCATCATCATCGTCACCGTCATCATCGCCATTTCCATGGTCAGGGGTCGGCAACATCACGCTTTTAGAACCGCCTTTTGTGTTTATTTTGTTGTACATCCCCCGCACCCCCGATTAGCACGTTTGGCTACGTACGGTGCGAAGGAAGTTCTACGTACGTACATATAACCTGGGACTCCGGAACCGCGTGCGGCTCTTAAAGGAAAGCTTTGTGACGTCACTTATCAAGGCCCACCGTCTCGTATGCGCCACGTGCATTGCGGCTCTTGAAATATAGATTTCTTTTTTTATTTCACCGAATTCGATACACAAAAAAATAATCGCCCTTCTTGTTCTGTTGGCTGCCGATCGCTGGTCATGGTGGTTGTAACTGGTATTGGACACAATCGTCGCGGTCACTCTGATCGTTGTATAAGAAGTGCAGTGCCACCGTCATAACCTCGAGATCACTGCTCCGCCATCGGTATCGTCAACACTGCCGTTTGCGGGCATTCAAACCTCACTCGCGGTGCCGTTGATTCAATTCGGCGTGAGGCTGCCTGCGTTGTTTGGCGATCACAGCACTCGCACATTCACTTCAGTCTCTCGCTCGCCGGAGTCGTTTCCTTATCGCTCTGCTATCGCTACTACCATGGTCACTGTTTTTCGTGTTTTTCACTCGCGGACTCACTCTTGTCACTCGCTATCAGGCGGGTCATTCGCCACCCTATCAGCGGCCACATTGACGCACGCGCGGTATGCACATACAATCTATCGCATCGCCTATTATCGTCACTGCCATCGTCATCATCACCATCATCGTCGTCGTCGTTGTTGTGGTCCTCGTCACGCGGTCGTCATCACTGCCCATGGGCATCCTGGTCACCGACTTCACCGTCGAGCGTCAAGCAGAGTTGACGTGGTCACCACAATCGTCATCGTTATCATCATCGTCACTGCCACTGTTACCATCGTCAGCAGCGGCAGCAGCAGCGGTGTCACCATCGAAATCCTAAGAAGATAATTTAATCGTCGCTGTCGGAATATTCACAACGACATCACGAGCTCCATCATCATACTCGAGCGCACTCATTCAAGCCACGAATGGGCTCATCCAACTCACGACTCCTGCCCCCCCCCCTCCCCAACATCCCCAATCCCATCAACATCCACCACCGACCCTGTCGCGTGAGCTGTGTAAGTGGGGGTGGGTGGGTGGGGGCTGCACCACACAATGTTCAACAAACTCTTAACAAATGATGCGCGCTGAACGGAATGAATAATGAACGACGCGGTTTGTTATTGTCAATCGAGCATTCTGCTCGCGCTCCCACCCCAAATGTATTTTGAATACAGGCTGCAACGCTGTCCCATGCATTGTACTGGCGGTGTCCGGTTTACGACGGCACACATTTACGACGCTTATATAATTCCACCGTGGATAGATTTAAAGACGCAGAAGCTTGATTTACTACGTATCTTCCGACACGGCTTCGAACACATTTGAACAGAGTCAGCCAAGGTTTCCGATGAGACTTGGCGCAGAGCTTTGATTATTCTCAAGCGGTTTTTGTTTTGTTTTGCGTGTGGATGTTTTACCTCTTAAACCCCTGTTAAAAATATGGCTCATAAACGGAAGAAGTAAAAACGCTTCGGCAAGCGATAGGGTCCGATTCACGACGGGGTTTCCAGGAACGCATTGTGTCATAAAAGCGGGGGCCGCATGCGCTCGACTCAATATCGTAGCAGCATTATTTACTTGCCTATTAGAATTCGAAGAGGTGAGGCTGGCGGGGGGTGGGGTGGGCTGAGACTTCATTAGGACGTCCTCGGCCCTCCTTCATCAACCCCACCTCTACCCGGGCACTCCGAGGCTGGCCATGAATGAATGATTAATTAATTAATTAACTTGCACTTGTATTGCACTTGATCTATCACGCAACGAAACGGCTCAGAGCGCAGGGCCCCCCCCCCTGTTGGCAGCTGGCCCTGTGTGGCACAAAGTGACTCAGCACCCGCTTTAGCGATGGGCATTATGACTACCGGTGAATGATCCGCGTTCGTCGATAATCGTTCGCATTTTGTACACTTTGAACCTGAGATTGACGCGAAATCGGGAGGGCCCAGAGAACACACTCTCGCAGAGCACGGGGGGAACATTCAAACTCCACGCAGAAATGCGCCCCAGTCGTAAATCAGAGCGAGTGGACTCTTGCTTCGAGGCGCAAGCGTTGTCACTGCGCCACCCTTCGGGAGGAAACGGCCTTGCGACGTTAGGGGCGTACTCTTTGGTTCTTTCGGTAAAGCCACGCAGGTAGAACAAAAAAAAACAATAGATCACGACGTTGCGATCGCAACACAAGCAACCGTCATCAGGTGTGAAACAAACACGTCAGCAGGAGACCATCATCAGGCGTGAAGCAAACACGTCAGCAGGTCTCCTGCTGACGTGTTTGTTTCACACCTGATGATGGTCGCTTGTGTTGCGATCGGAACGTCGTGATTTATTCTTTTTTTCCTACTTCTACCTACGTGACTTTACCGAAAGAACCAAGGAGTATGGATTTCTTGCAGTCACGAAAGCTTCGAATCAATGTCAGGGGCAGTGCCATGAACGAACTGCTTAGCGCGCGCGACGAAACTGATGACTCTGGGGATTGTTTTCTGGAGGAAACCAACGCGTTTGAAGGGACGGCGCTCTACACTTTGCACAGATACCTTCAAGCAGTCGAAGCACTGCCGCCGCCTCTTGGCAAAATCCTTGACCAGGCGACGTTGACGATGAAGGTGCTGTTCGATGCCGCCGCCGTTGTTGTTATTGACGGGGATTCTTTCTCACGCATCTCTCCCTCCCGCTCCCGCGCGACTGTCAGCAGCCGGCAACGGGACGAGCGAGGAGGCTCCGATGGGCGCCACGGCGGGGTGGCCCGAGAGGAGAATGGTCCTGAGGGAGCTGGAGCTCTTGCGGGGCTCCAGGGACCGGCAGGTGGCCGAGGCAGCGAGATTCTGCCGGGCGCTGGAGTCGGAGCTGCGCGCCGCTCGCATTGCGATGAGCCACGTGCAGGAGAGGCACTGCGCTCAGCTGGCCAGGTCTGGGCTCTCGAAACCCACGGACTTCTCTGTCACACTCACTCACCTCTCTCTCTCAAACACACCAACAACAATCGCCGACATTCACCACGAAGTGACGGTGACGTCACCACGGTACCCGTGCCAGGCCAGGTGAACTTTGGGGACAAACCCACAACGCGTGCAACTGACCCTTTGCCAATCCACTGCTGGATGAGTGTCTCCCCACACCGTACGGGTCGTGGTGGTGGTTATTTGACCGCGTTGGTCGGTGTGTGCTTTGCCGAAGGTGACGGAGCGAAAAAACTTTTGGAGCACGGTACAGTACAACAACCGATTTTGCTGCACTGGATCAGAATCATAATGTGTATTTCGACTGCAGGAGGAATCCGATGAGCTGTGAAGCGCTTTTTCAAAGATGTCCAGTTGGGTCAGAAAGTTACAAGAACAATCAATATAAATAACGATATGTGTGCAAAATGTAGAAAATGCAAAGCACACCAGTCAACCACTTATCAGTGGCTATCTTATTACAGAGCAATTCAGACTTTATTGGTCCCTCCGTGCCCTTATACATCTCAAAGTGCATCCCATCACAAGCGAGAAACACAAACAAATAGACACATTTCTTTTGCCCGTATTTAAACGGGTGTATGCCGCATGGACCTGGAAACTCAATTTCCCTGTACAATATTACGGGTAAACCGTAGTATGGGTTGACAGATATGGGTAAAGGGAATCACGTAAAAAAATAACTATTTAAGGACAAATTACTTAAGTACATACTTTCCTGCCGATTTGTCAACGTTAAATGCAAGCCAGGGCCAGGCGGATAAACAACAACAAAAACAGTCCCAGACCACACCAACACAACACAGTCCCCCCATAAAACTGCACATTAAGATCAATTTAAGACATTAGAATGTGCGGCAATGCCCTCTGCTGACAACGTAACAACGTCCTATCACGCCTGCTGTGCACGGTGGTCGCCCACGCAATGCCTTCTTTTATTTGAAGTATTTTTTTCAAATTACGTTATTGGCCTTGGAGGTCGTAACCCTCAATTTGCGCAACTCTGTGTGGGTCTCTGCCACGTGAATATTGCTTCTGCTGCTGCTGAAAATGCACTTTACACTCGCATGGCCTGTACGTTGCCCTGAACACAGGGAGACACGTGCAAATGGCAGAGCCCTTTTGTCAATCCACTGCTGTACTGAACGAGGGCCTCCCACCCTGTCACGTGGGCCGTGCGGGATTATTGACCATACTTCACCACTCATGTCAGTGCAGGTTAGTGAAGGCAAAGAGCTAAAGATAGGAAAAGCCTCGCTGAGTCTCAAGACTCCTTTTTCAGGAGGATCTTGCATTGGGGATGTTGGGACAGTTCCATTCATGAGTGGCTTGGTGTGGCATGAAACGGGTGAAACTGGTAAGCACGATTGGCTGCGTACTGTGCGAAAGAAGTTCAACATAGATGGAGGGAACCAACACGTGTGAAGGGATGATGCTCGACCCTCCGGACAGATACATTTAATCCGTTGCTCTACTGTCATCACTTGCCCACCTTGATGGTGTTGGTGATTATGCTTTTGATGCTGCCAATGATGCAGTTGGCCCTGACCTGTTGTTTAAACACGTGACTCCCTCACACTAAAATCATATTTTGCCAGGTCAGTGAGTTGGGTGCGTGCGAGGATGATGGCTACGAGAATGCTTTTGACAATAAAATGTCCATGTGCATTTATATGGCACCCCCAGTGCCAACTGTACCTGTGTGTGGTACAAGGAGGCATCAAGTACTACGTGTAATTACAACTTATATGTATTATTTGGCAAATGTGAACAATGATTCTGGCACACAATGGCCTAATCCTGTGATGGCCTACTCGTTAACGTCCACTGCCAAGCAGAAAGCACGTACATAATATATGGCCAACACTCCCGCGGTAATAACCAGTGCGGCCTTATGGATCCCAAAACCACGAATCTCTAAAAACCAGCGACAGACGCTGGGCCACGTCACCGGCCCCACTGCCCTGGCATTTAAACCGCACGACGACCCCCGCCCCCCCCCCCCAACGCTAAAATCGTCCGCAGGGTCCGCGAATTCCGCGGCGATGACGGTGACGTTCGCCGTTTGTCCGCCGGTGCGGATGCGCAGGCTGCAGCAGGAGGCGGCTGTGGCCCACGGCCGCTGGGCGCGCGAGCGGGCCGAGACGCTGCGGCGGGCCGAGGAGGCGCGCCGCCACTTACTAGCGGCGCTGGCGCTGCCCGGGGGCGAGCGGAGGGCACCCGTGGGCTCCGCGGGCTCCGCGGGCAGCAGCGAGTGGAGGAGCGGCGGCGGGCAGCGGCGACGGGAGGGGGTCCTCGGTGCCAGGTGCTCGGTCGCTCACGATACGCACGCAAAGGTCCCTCATATTGGTGCGCGCACTGCTAGGCCAAGTACTGTTAGCGAACACTCTATGCATATATATAACCAGGGAACGATCATTGTTGTGGTTCGACTTCCGTGGGAATTGCTATTTATTTACACCGGCAAACCCGAGTTTGAATCTGGGCCACTGCTAACACCAGTGATGAGTTATATCGGAACGAGTTCTAAACTATTGAAACTAAACTATAAACTATTTTTTAAATTTTACCAGGTAAAGCCCGCTGAGCTATATACAGCAGCTCATTTTCATAAGCGACCTGGCCACAAAGATAGCTCAACGAAGTTTTCTTATCGCGTTGACATTTATAGCAACCAGATACTCTAAACGCGTGTTTCTAAATGCGGAGGGTAAATCCGGAGGACCTGGAGAAAAATCCATGCTACCACGGTGAAAACATGAAAAGTCCAAATATACAGGCGTCAAGGGTCGGGACCGTATCCACGACCTCCTTCTGCATACCAGGCGAGGTAGTTAACATCTCGTCCACCACGGCACCCCCAGTTCACCAACCTACACTGACCAGCATGGTGAAGTATGGGGAAAACACTTGGTGGATCCAAGAGGAGGGCGATGAAGGCGATTGCCTCCCCCACCCCCCTCACCCTCGAGACCACGAAACCTGGTATTTGTTTGAATATTTACCAGAAAAAACATAGTTGGAATGGGTATGTTTTAATGTGATGTCTCCCCCCCCCCCCCACCATTTTGCAAGTTTCTCGATCCGTCCCTGGTCAAACAATCCCCATGACCAACACAGGGTGCCACGGTGACTAGAAGATGTTAACTACCTCGCCTCGTACGCAGGAGGTCCTGTGTTCGATCCCGAATCTGACGCCTGTATGTTTGAAGTTTCCATGTTCTCCCCGTGGTTTGCGTGGATTGTTCTCCGGGGGTTTTCCTCCGCAATTAGGAACGTGCGTTTCGAGTATTTGGCTGCTGTGCATTTCCACACGGTAAGCCAATTTGTTGAAGCTGTCATTTGTGGCCAGGTCACTTCTGAAAAAGAGCTACATAGCTCAGTGGGCCCTTACTTGGTAAAATAAAAATTGTAAAAAAAGAATTAGCTTGGTAAGGCCTTCACCCAAAGGGCTCTAAATTGGTGCTATTATTGTTATTAATGTTATTATTATACGCACGTACGTGTGATACATGGAACTCTCTAATCCCTCTTTGCTATTCACCCTCCTTGAGCCAGCGCTCGTTGTGGCACGCCGGCCACGCCGCGTAACGCCGCACGCGCGGCTGTAGTTGTTTAGACACCACGTGCCAATCATTTGCAAGGGCTCCACCTGCCCCGGCCAAACCCTTGGCACCCGTGGGGTGTTGCTTCTTAGAGACTCCCAGATGGGCGCACTCACGGGAACAATGGGGACATTAAAACGTGGGCAATGGTGGGCCAAGTGAAGGCCCTATATCCCATCTGGCCTCTTTTGCTTTTTATGCTTTCCGGTCTTAGACTCTTCATTCGCTTCATTCTCTCGCCCCCCCCCCCCCGCCGCCTCCACCTCCCCTACCAGAAGCTCACGTGTGTGTGCCGAGTTTCCCCTTCTGTCCATTGTTTGCCTTTTACGCCTGATTTGAAACGAGCACAGATGCTGGCCGTGAGGGCATGCATAGACGAATTGCTTCGCTGACTACAATCGACTCGTACGGTCTAGGCGCGTGCGAGATGCAATGGTTTACACTTTTTATTTTATTTCGGATGGTGACATTGGATAACGGATGATAAACGTTGCTTCTCTGTGATCATGTACCCGCAAAAATCCATCTACGAGTTGCCTCCCGCCCAAGGTTATGCCGAATCCCGCTTGGGTGCGATTACTGTCACTAGAGCGACGCAGGTGGGGGCCTTGCCTTGACCACGTTTAGAAGTGAACTGAATCACAGGACCGTTAGCCAGCCAAGTAGTGCCAAGCAAGAGCGAGAGAAAACGATGTGCTGCAGGGTTACATGAAAAAAATATAATTCGGATACTTTTTACAAATGTGTATCCCTTTATTTTTTGTTTGCTCTGCAGATGGAATAGTTGAGGGATTTTTCGATTTAAAGCTTTCGTGACTGCAGGGATCCATATCCTTGGTTCCTTCGGATTACCCAGGACAGCTTCCCTCCACAAGAGGAGTACAATCCTGGGAAAACCAGGACAGGTGGCAACCCTAGCTCGACCCCGTCGTGGTCATTGTTATTTATTTGACAACACAGCCCCGCCAGTTTGGCCTCTGAGGCCTCCGCTAAGAGGTGGGGGGGGGGGGGGGGAGCGATAGTGTAGTGGTTAGCGCGCCACGCTACGAACCTGGCGACCCGGGTTCGAGTTCTGCTCAGAGGCCAACACCATTGACGATAATTTGAACCGGCCCTGGGCCTCCCCTAGATCGACTCAGCCTCAAATTAGTTACCTGGTGCGGTGTGTAAACATCGCCACTGGGGAAACAAAGGCGGCCGGGCCTGGTGTTGGCCACCCACCCCCTCGTGTGCCGTGCTGGCCTTCATAGGTGCTCGCTACCAGCACTTGCCCTAATAATCTTTGTCTGGCAGCCAGGGCAAGTGCAATGATCTTTTCAGAAGCAGCAGCAGCAGCTGTCCTCTGTGGCCTTACAGAGACAACACCATCGGACTCTGATGGGTCCTTTGCGCTCACAAAGAACACAATGAGGAGCCAGTGTTCTATTGTTTATTAATGACGGGTTCGTCACACTGGGGCATTGGTTCACGTGGTTGGTTGTGTCTGTACGGCTCTCCGATGTGTATTTGCCGAGTCGCGCCGCCTGCCGTTCGGCAACGACGTCCGACGTTTCGCGCCCCGATGTGCCGGAAGCGTCTTTGAGGCCCGCTCCGCGCAGTGGGCACGGCGCAGTTGCACAGCCTGCACGCCCAACAACTGCTTTACGCCGCTGGGTTGGGAACCCGACGGCTAAAACTCGAGGTTCAAGTCCAGTTTTTTTTGTTATTCGAACGGATTTTTTTACGCGTCCCAGGGCTGGAGTTTAGCCGGATCTAAGTTCGTAACTGATTCGTCGTGATGGAAATGCTTTCGACCATCAGGGAGTGGGCCGAGACCGTCGATTCACCCACGCTTGGAAGGCCACGTTAATAATCGCAGGTGCTTGTAACTCTGAACATAACCCAGGATATTCTTAGTTCTTTCGGTAAAGTCACGTTGAAGGGAAACAACAAAATAATAAAATATATCTAAACAATAAAAAATAAAAATATAACCCAGGATCTCAGCGCTAGCAACTGGCATTAAGTTCGCAAATTATTTGGTGATGTTGCTGCTGCGTTGGAGGTGGTGCATACTGCACAATTAACAAAAACACTCAACGCGTTCCTCAACAACACTTGTGGCCTTATAGGAAAAAAAAACATATTTCATCGTTGACGTTTCAGACAATTGACCTTCTTCATAGGACAATCTGCGAAAAACCTCTACATGCCACGAGGAAGGGCCATGCCCAAAAAGTTGTATACTGTATTATACATGTTCTTTATTTTAAGGCTACACACAGTGTTACTGCAGAACGGACGTGTTGAATGGTTTCTTTCATTGAGCCGGCAGCTATTTAAAAAAGCACCTCTCCAGTGTGCGACTGTGGTCATCCAGAAGAGGCCGTACAACGTATAACGACGCAACGCCCGATTCACAAATACGACACTTCTTTCGCACCATACGTAGCCGACCGTGCTAATCTCAGCGCTACACTCCCGCTGCTGCCTGACGCTATTGTCCGGCTTGACCTCCTGAATGTCGTCGCTTTGCATCTACATCATCAGCCATACGACAAGAAGAAGAAGAAGCAGCAGCAGCTCGCTTTCCATGCGACCCGTGGGCCACCCAGCACCACCCAAACCCCCCTCCCAGCTCCCTGGCCTGCCTGCCTGCCTTGCTAGCCTCCCTCCCCACCTCGAATTCCAAAACAATCCCTGCGCCGAGAGAGAGTGAGAGAGAGAGTCGAGAGCTCGCGCGCGTAAAGAGGCTGGGACAGCAGTGGCCTCACATTGAGCAGCAGCCGCAGCAGCCGCCGTGGCGGGTGCGGCGAAAGCCGGCGTCGCGCGAATGTCGTGGCCGTGTCGGTCGCGTGCGATCGCTATCGTCGTCTCCGTCGGCACAAAGGGGCTTTTGTCGCCAGGAGCCACGCGGGGGGAGGGGGGGGGGGCGATGATGCGCCGGGGCTCTCAATGCAAAAGGGGGGAGAGTTACAACTCGCGCGGATTTAGGCGGGGTGGGTAACTTGAGCGCGACTTGTTTACCAAAATTGCCCATTGATGGACACGGCACAATGGGACCTCGTAAAACATTCAGGAGCCTCGAGCAGGGACAACATTATTGCAAGCGGCGGTCTTGAAAGAACTGAGCGTTGACGCACGTTCGCGCGTGTGTGTGATATTTTTTTTTTACAAGGGTTTGGACGGCCCTTTGTCAGTCCGCTGTCCGAATGAAGGCCTCCATCCTTACGTCACGGCCGCTTTGACCATGCTTCACCAATGCCGCCGATGTAAGTCTCGTGGCCGGTGCGAATGAACTCAGGCTGCCGGGTTCGGAGCGCAGTGCGCCTGCTCAGCTAGCCTACGGGGTCGTTGCTCGATCGACACTGCCGAGTACCTCATTGCAATGGCTGTAGGTGTATTATTGTCATCGTCGGTAGTGAGGAGCGGTGGTGCCGCCGTTACGAGCCCGGCGACCCGAGTTCGATTCCCGCTCATGGCCAACACCCAGTGACGATTATTTGAACCGGTCCTAGGTCGACTCAGCCTCAAATGAGTATACATCGCCACTGGAAAGACAAAGGCGGCCGGGTGTGGTGCTGGCCACCAACCCCCTCGTGTGCCGTTTTGGGCTTCCAAGATTAACAACCCCAAAAACGTATGTCCAGGCGTCTCAAAGACGAGGGTTTGCTTCGTCTCAAAATTATTCGGTGATTTACCCAGGACTTGTGCAGGTAGC